CATTGTATCGATCGTACTAATTTGAAAGCGTGGTTCTACAGAAAGAGAAACTTGAGGAGTTGGCTTCAGCTGAGGGAGTCGATCTACTCTACGACTACTGCATTCGTGAGAAGAAAACGTACGCAGAAGTTCTCACAGACTTTCCTAGCGTGGACGTGCATTTGACGATTCTGCTGCAGCTGATTCCTCGTCAAAAGCCCCGATCGTACTCCATCTCATCATCGGCTTTGCTGCATCCAGGACGCGTAAGCTACTTATCCAGTACGGATATTGTGCTGATACTTACATCCCACGTCTTTGGTTCATAGGTGCATTTAACTGTGGCCATTGTGGACTTCTTGACGCCATACAAGCGTCGCCGTAGCGGCATTTGCTCGTCCTTCTTCCTATCTCTGGATCCATCCAAAGAGCAGAAGCGTGTGCCGATGTGGATTAAGAAGGGCCTCTTTGAGCCGCTGAGCTTAGATCGTGACGTGCTACTCATCGGTCCTGGCACAGGACTCGCCAGCATGCGGGCTATGGTGCAAGAGCGTCAATTCCTGCGCAAGCAAGCAGATAAAGACAGCAGCTCTGGAGCGGTGTACCTCTACTTCGGATGCCGTCATGAAAGCAAGGTAAAAACCTTACAACGGTCTTGAAACGCACCAACCACCTAACGATTTACTACTGTATAGGACTTTTTGTATGGTGACGAGCTACGTGGCCTCGTGGCCTCAGGTGATATCACTGAGCTACACACCGCGTTCTCGCGTGATCAGGTACCTCAACACTTCAGCTCTTGGAACATGTATGCGGTGTCTAAGTTCGTCATATCTTGCAGGACCACAAAATTTACGTGCAGACGCGTCTAGCAGAAAACAAGGAGACCATCTTCGATTTTATCATGAACGGCGAGGGATGCATCTATATCGCCGGATCCGCCAAGCGAATGCCTACTGATGTCTATGAAGTGCTGCGCGACATTCTTCGATCAGTAGGAAAAATCCCATTACCAACCGCTGAGAAAGTGATGAAGACGTTGGCCCGCAAGAAACGCTACGTCGTAGAATCATGGTCGTAGACATATCGAGACGAACCGAGGCCTGTAAATCCCGCAGTATAGAACACTGTTAAAACTTGATTCCGCTATGACTTCATTATGACTCCAATATGATAAATTTTATTAATTAGTAGTAAAAGCATATACAAAAAAAAACTTTCGGATAATATCCTATATAATCCGACGGATATGAACGATGCGAAAACAGCGCAGCATGTGCGGATGTTCGTGAAGCTCGCGAACGTCACACAGACATCGCAGCTGCACGAGTGGAACCTTGAGTCTCTTCAGAGAGCTCTGGAATGGGCCTGTGCAGCTGAAGATGCCGTGAGTGAGGGTGAGTCGCAGCAGGACGTTGAGACGCGTATCCGTCAGTGGTTTCCAGTCGCCACTCTTCCCACGCTGCCGCTAGATGGAGCTCTGACAGCGGAGGCTCTACGGCTCGCAAGGGTTCATTTACTGCGGTCAATTCTACAGAGTCCGTTCCTAGCGTCACATCCGACACGGTCAGAACTGCTGGTCACGGTGCTTCAGGAGCTAGAAAGGAGACGTGAAGGCGCTTCAATTGATGAATTGGAAGAGCATTCACCCAATAGGTGACACGATGATGAGGCTGCTTTGTGGAGTGGTGCAGCTGTAGGATACTTATCCTGTGTTTTGGATATTGTTTAATGATCTGATAGTGCGCTGCTGACTGAAGGAGTCGTCGGAGCTTCGCGCACGAATGCCATGCTGGCCATTGCACGCAGAATGAGCGAAAGATGCAAACGCGTTCGTGTGCAAGGTAGCTTTTGCTTTACTATTCACAATGTAAATACCAAATGCTGACGCGTTGGTATGTTTAGTGCTTTCCGGGTGGGTATTGGTGGCCCCACTTAAGAGCTACGCACTCTCGCCGCGCACGCTTCAGCTGAAGGCAATGGCCAAGACATTGCAGCGAAATGCAGTGGATGCTCGGGCTGCAGTAAATCCGGAAACATACCACTGCTTTCTGAATGACTTGCAAGGCTGCTTTGAAGCACCTGACAGTAAAGATGTCCGGGTAAGCGTTTAAGAGATACCTGGTCTTTACTTAGGCTGACGCTGAGCATACCTTTGTGCAGGAAGTTGTAGTGCTGATGCTGGTCATGTGTGAGTGGCCCAAGGAAGAGCCCCCGCAACTTCAGGGAATGATGGAAGATCTTGTAAAACTCGTGAGTGGCTGGGTAACGCGCAAGCCTATTCGGTTATGGGTGTTCCATCCTTGGTTGGCTGCCATGTTGGCAAGTAAATCGCAAGCTATCGCAAGCGCTTATGTATCCGAACTGTTCAAGACGGGACTCTTACAACCATGTACGACTTTACATGAGCCTTGTCCTATTCGTGTGGATACGCATTAATATTGTTTGCATCCAGGGGAGCGAGAGTTTGTAGAGCGTGTAGCAACGCTTGTCTTGCAGCCAGAAGGCGTGGAGGACGTATTGAAACCAGCGCTAACAAAGCTGGACCCCCATTTACAGCACGTCTACTTCAACGTGAACTTAAAACCCGATCGTTCATAAAGACCACGCTACGCTCAAGTATTTAGGACCGTCTTGGTATTAATGTGCATACCGGCGCAAAACATTGACGACTTCATGATGACCTTTGCGCAGTGCTAGATCTGTAGCAGTGAGGTGAGGCACTTCCAGAAGCGGTAGTGTTGTATCAGCGCCACCTTCGTCGATTAACGCGACGCAACACTCGGTGAACCCCTCTTCTCCAGCGATCACCAGGGCGGTGAATCCAAAACGATTTCGCTGGTTAACCAGTGTTCGAGTCCATTCTTCATCGAGGAACGAGGACTGACGAAGATGCCGTAACATCAGTTGCAACGAGGTTACCGCGTTCGCCGCTGTAGCGAGATGTAGAATTGAGTTTCCATCGGCATCCGTCACGAGGACACCCGCTCCATGCCTACAGCCACAGTTAATCTTTAATATGAACTGGAATCTTACATTGTGATCTTAGACTTACTCAAGAAGAAAGCTGACAACGTCGTGGGCGTCCCAAGCGGATGCATGCAGCAATGCTGTGCGACCAGTATGAGGGTGCCGTACGTCCAACAGAGTTGAATTGCTACTCTGTAAACAGCTTACAGCTTCTACATCGTTGTCTCCAGCGGCTTGCATCCATCTATTCAATAACTCCATTTACGTGATAGTAGAAGTTAAGGCGAGTAGTCGCGTACATCTGATGATCAAGTAAATTTGTTTAGCTCTACTGGTCATTGTCTTGAATTGTCAGCTCACATTACGCTCCTACACAATGTCTGCTGTAGTTTTGACGGATCAGTCCGTAGTAAAGCCATAGACTTCTGTTTCCAGCGTAGCATATAGCACAGCCTTCAATTCATCACGAACAACGTGAAGTGGCAGGTCTAGCCGGTTGAAGCAAGCATGACTGTGGATGAAGCCATCACCTACCAGTGACACTGCCTTCAGAGTAAATGGACATAAGCGACCATCGTAACTCGTCAACGCACTAAACCCACCGAGAGGTACACGTGATGAACCAGTGGAGAACTGTAGCAATCGGCGACGATATTCATTTGGCATCTCGCGCACCAACTCCCAAAACCAAATCAATGAACGATGGTGGTGCAGTTCTTCCGAATATTTCGTATTGCGTTCCCAGTCATCGACGTCAATCTCATCAGATCCGCACAACAGGAAGTCAAACTCCTCCGGATCGAATAGTAGCAACAGCTCACGTGGAACGATTTCGTACAAGCCACAAAGAAAGACTTGTAATTGTGGTGCCACGCTCTCCACTAGAAGGTACTGCCACTTCCGCTCAACATACTCGCGCTTGTTGCTGTCGGTGACTGCGATGGAGCTACCACCAGGGACGAGCTCGACATCACGATACTTCTCTTCTTCCTTGACTGTCACGGTGAAGTACAGTCCAATTGACTCGACGTTCTCATTGTCTAACAGCCAACGTAGATTTGTGTACACTTCTGGGTCCAGGTCCTCTACATCGGCGAAACTTAGTGGATAACCAAGCATGAGTTTAAGCAGAGGAGGCGCAAGATGAAAGCATAGCATAGAGCCTTCGAGCAATGCGCGACCCAGTAGTCGACCGGTTGCATACAGATGTAGTAGCTGGTCCGGTAAGGAATTTGCAGTGAAGCAGGGATTCAAAAAGTAGGTTTGCTCGTTCTCGTTGGTGCATACAAATAATCCACGGGCAGGATCTACCAGCATTTCATTCAGAAGCACAAACCATTCACGGTGCAATCCACCAGCGTCAACACCACTCTCATCCAGGAAATTAATGCGCAGGACAGAGTGCACATTCTGAAGTGGAATAATAGCCAGAGACTCCATCGAGTCTTCAAACACATTTGCCCGCTCTACGTTGAGCCGCAAGTGCTCTTTCTCTGCTGGAATAAGCAGCGCCGACGTTGCAGTGACGAAATGAGCGTATTTTGACGGGAAATCTTTTGCAGCAAGTGCCATTATCTCGGTTAGAGGCGTTGAAGCATTATCCTCTGTGGACGTAGAATTACCGAGAGGCAGCTTTGAAGCATCAACGGTCGTATCAGTCGATGGAGTAAGCACAACGTGCTGCTCTTGTGTACCCCGTATTAAGGTGGCAATGCAACCGTCAATCGATCCAACCAAAGGTTGCTGGGTACTATCTTGCTCGACGCTCTCAGTATTCACCTCTGCACTGACCGGGTTCGGGTCGGGGGTATCCATTTTAACAGAAGACGCAACCGTCACAACATCAGTTCCACATTCTGAAGGCGGTAGTGACGATTCTCCTTCTCCGACGGCGTTAGGCAACAGCTTTTCCATGCCGTTGTCAGCCATTGCTGGCGTGGACTGAAACTTTACAACGAATCCGGTAAACTGCGTATCACCCCATCGACCATCTCTGAACCAGAACGCACAGCCTGCAACGTCTATTTTCCTCGTCCACTCTTTGCGTCGCTGAGCTCGTAGACGACGCCGAGTTGTTTGCTCTGGAGGCGTCACAGTGACCAACTCCACTTTGGTTTCACGTTTAAGCAGCGGTAAAAATGAGAGCCGTGTCGATCGTTTTTTGCTGATATTCATATCACGATCTCCATCCTGTTCGTCACTGACAATGGCTTCTCCACAGACTGTACAGAACTTGAAGCGCTTGAAATTCTCAAAGCTGCATACCGTACATTCATTGAAACCTTGTTCGGCATCCCTCAGTGCTGCGTCCAGACGGCGATCATCCGAGCTGTAGAAATTGCACCAAAAAGTTACAATAGCGTTAGTCGAATAGTACTCAATCGAAGCCTGTGACTTGTGACGTACTTGAGCAGCGGTGCATGCAGCTCCAGCGAGCGCTGTCGGCGGATATACGCGCGCCTGGCCAGCATACTCAGGAAGAAGAAGAGCAACGCGATGATGGCCAGTACCACGAGGAAGCCCAGTACGGCCTCCATGGCTCTTGCGGTCTCTGTCGAATCTACGAGTGGCAGTGGCAATGGCGTTTGTCACGTAAGGCCACAAAAGTGCTTACCATAGGTACAGTTTACATAGGATAAGAAAGATAATTAGAAATCGAAGGTAAACTTTTGTGGTTACATTTGGCGGTACAGCAGATGAGTGTGCACCTTTTCGGACGGTACACGAGTAAGTTGACACGATTACTCGACGCCTACCAGGCTGGTAACCAGCTTGCTTGGTTCCAGTCGAGTCACCACCTACACTAACAAATTGCAATTTAGAGCACGATTCTACTTTATTCAATTGGCAAATTGAGAATATTATCAGTCCGTCGTGAAGCCATAGGCCTCTGTCTCCAGTATGGCGTGCAGTACAGCCTTCAGCTCATCTCGGGTCACGTGAAGCGGTAAATCCAACCGATTAAAACAAGCATGACTGTGAATAAAGCCGCCTCCGACGAGCGGCACAACTTTCAGTGTGAATGGGCATAGACGACCGTCATAGCTTGTCAACGCGCCGAAACCACCGAGCGGTACACGTGACGACCCTGTCGCGAACTGCAGCAATCGACGGCGATATTCGTTCGGCATCTCGTGTACAAGTTCCCAGAACCACTTGAGAACTCGAGTGTGATGAAGCCCTTCTGAATATTTGGTATTGCGCTCCCAATCGTCCACATCGATTTCTTCAGAACCACATAACAAAAAGTCGAATTCCTCCGGATCAAAGAGCAAAAGGAGTTCGCGAGGAATGATTTCGTAAATCCCCCGAAGAAAAACTTGTAGCTGGGGTGCTATACTCTCCACTAATAAGTATTGCCACTTGCGTTCCACATACTCATGTTTGTTGCTGTCGGAGACGGCGAGATTCTTTCCACCGGGTACGAGTTGAATCGTGTGGTATGTGTCTCCATCCTTGGCGGTGACAGTAAAGTCGATCCCTAATGAGTCCACATTATCATTGTCCAGAAGCCACCGCAAATTACTGTACATTTCAGGATCCAAATCCTCCAAATCCGAAAAACTCAATGGATAACCCAAGATCAGCTTCAGAAGTGGTGGAGCTAAGTGAAAGCACAGCATTGATCCCTCTAGCAAAGCTCGTCCAAGTAAACGACCAGCTGCTAAGAGGTGGAATAGCTGGCGAGGGAGATCATCCACGTTCGAGCACGGTCTTAAAAAGTAGGTCTGCTCGCTCTTGTTGGTGCACACAAAGAGTCCATGTGCTGGATCCACTAGCGCCTCGTTGAGCATAACGAACCATTCACGTTGAAGCCCTCCAGCATCGATACCGTTCTCGTCAATGAAGTTTATACGCATTACAGAATGTAAATTTCGAAGCGGAATAACAGCGAGAGATTCCATCGAATCCATGAACACCTTTGCACGTTCGACATTAAGTCGTAGGTGTTCTTTATCAACAGGAACCAATAGGCTTGAAGCACTCATTACAAAGTGTGCATACTTGGAGGGGAAGTCTCGTTTGGCGAATGCCATGAATTCTGTAACAGATTTCGGCGTTTCAGTAGTTTCTGGGATGTCGTCTTCAGTCGGATACGATGCCGTAAGCTTTGGACCGATTGAGATAGTGAGGGGTAGTTTTGAGGCATCCACGGCAATATCGGAAGTTGGTACAAGCACCAATTCCAATTTCTGTACGGACTTCTTCAAACTCGCCATGCGCCGCTCAAGGGGTCTTAACGTAGGTTTCTGACGCGTTTGGTTACCATCTCCAAGACCTGATTCGGGTTCGGGAGTGCTGGGAATACTTGAAGCACTATCTTCATGGTGTGGTGAATGCGTTGGCGACGTTATTTTATCATCTTTCGATTGATCTTGACTTGTGGGTGTGGTAGGTGGTAATCTTTTGGAGTCCTGGGTGTTGGGGAGTAGTTGAGACCAAAAACACTTGTCAATGACGGGACCTGTACTTGCACGCTCAAACTTTGCAACAAATGCCGCGGGAGGTGCGTCAGTCTTAACTAAGCGGCTATCACGAAACCAGTACATTCGGCCTTCGACGTCCTGCTTGCGCGTCCACTCCTTTCGTCTCTGAGCGCGTACACGACGGCGAGTGGCATGATTCGTGAGTGTCGAGATAGATGCAGATGCGGCAAGCTGCACATCACTTTCACGTCGGAATATTGACAATAGTGAGAGCTTCACTGGTGTTTTCTTCTTTTCTGCGGCGCCTTCACTGTCTCCTTCGTCGTCCCTTTTCCTCATCAGCTCCCCACAAATCGCACAAAATTGACAACGTTTGAAGTTCTCAAACTCACAGACTGCGCACTTATTAAATCCTTCTTCAGCATCTCTTCACAGCCAAATAATATAACAAACTGTCAGCTCTGCCTTTGCAGTCACGACACCATTGGAACAGAAACCAACCTCAACGCTGCATCCAGACGTCTATGGTCTGAGCTGCACTCATCACAACACACAAGCAAGAGACAACATAACCATTAGACATCACCGATACAAGCAAGGTAATTGAGCAGTACCATTGTCCATTGACCAGTGACGTACTCGATGAGCGGCGCGTTGAGCTCTGCCTCACGCTCGAATTTCTTGAACGAACGGCGTGCCAACCAGCCAAAGCACATGGCAAGGAGCAGTGTTAGCGCGCACGCTACGGCGATGGTCCCGCCCACGGACATTGCTCAGCAATGCTCACGGACTTGGCTGTGAGATTGAGAAGGGTGTACGAGTTGGAGAGTGCCACGATGAGGTCATCTCGATATCTGGTTCCGATACGAGCCATGCAATCAGGTGTCAATTACATTCACGATAAAAGGCAAAAGTGTTTACGTTAGCCAAGCACAATTTGACAATGCAATTGCATCAAACACGTACGAAAACTTATGGGCCTTGCTGGGCATGTGGTGCGTGCAAAAGTGGGATCCCAAATCTGAGGACCGCAACCACGATCGCAAGAACGGCACTCGTCTCCATCGGCATTAGGAACTTCCTAATAGGAAGAAGGTTGGAACCTAAGTTGGAACAGTTTACAAACGTATTACTCAATTTGAAGGTCGACCGCAAATGCCGTGTCCGCAGTGATTCTCAGCGATATCCAGAAAGTTACAAAAAATCTCAAAATTATTATAGCAGCAATTGAGCTGTTTACAGTAGGTTTGCTCTTTGGCATCCCTCGATAACGTAGATACATTGCGACGCCCAATGGCGCCGAGCTTGGGTTATGCCGTCGTAAAACCCGTGAGATCGGTCTCCAGCGTGGCGTACAGCATTGTCTTCAACTCCTTCTTGCTGCTATACAAGGGCAAATCCAACCGGTTAAAGCATGCGTGACTCGAAATGTACTGCGTCATTTTGTACGACACACCCTTGAGGTTGAACGGGCATAGGCGGCCATCGTAACTAGTTAAACCACGGAAACCCGAAAGTGGAACGCACGCTGATCCCGTCGCGAACAACAGAAGACGCCGGCGGTATTCGTTCGGCATTTGACGAACGATCTCCCAGAACCATCGGGTCACGTTAGCACCTTCGAGATTTGGGGACATAACGGTGTGTGCCTCCCAGTCCGTGACGTCGATTTCCGGGGATCCACATAGCAAGTAATCAAATTCTTCTGGGTCGAAGATCAACAGCATCTCACGAGGAATAACCTCGTACAAACCTTTGAGGAACGCATGCATCTGATCGGCAACACTCTCGAACAACACGTATCGGAAGCGACGATCCAAATATTCGCGCTTGTTGGCGTCCGTGACGGCGATATTCCTTCCATTCGGGATCAGATCCACCACGATCTTCTCGGATTCATTTATCTGCTCGGTTAGACTGAAGTCAAGTCCGAGATCGTCCACGCCGTCATTGTCCATCAGCCAACGTAGGCTACGATAAGTCTCAGGGTCCAGGAACTCCATGTCGGCGAAAGTCACTGGGACACCCAAGATCACCTTCAGCAATGGTAGCGCGAGATGGAAACCCCAGATACCACCTTCCAGTAATGCACGACCAATCAAACGTCCAGTGGCGAAGTAGTAGGCAAGGTGGTCTTCACCCACCTCTGCGGAGGACTGCGGGTTGAAATAGTAGCTCTGGTCAGCCTTGTTCGTACACGTAAAGAGTCGTAGCGTCGGTGAAGCCAGCAGCTCGTTCACCAGCATAAACCATTCACGGTGGACACCACCAGCGTCCACGCCACTTTCATCCAAGAAATTGATACGCATAAAGGAGCGCAGATTTTTCGGTTGAATGCAGTACATGTGATCCATTGACTCCTCCATCATGTAGTCGCGGTGTACCGACAACTTCAGAAATTCCACCTCCGCAGGCACAATTAGGGACGCAGTGCTCACTACAAAGTGCGCATACTTGGAAGGAAAGTCACTAGCCGCCATAGACACAGTCTCCTTGCGACGCTCTGGACCAGCATCGCCAAGTGTCGACTTGCCTGTAGGGAATTCCGCTGGGTCAGAACCTGAAGCCTCAATCAGCTCCACTTTTACGTCTGTAGGCAATATCGGTTTTTCTAGAATGTCTTCCTTGACCTCCCGTGGCTGTTCCACAGCGAGAACCGGTTCATTATCAGGGGTTGTCTCCTCATCCTGCTCCTGGTCTTCGTTCGTCTCCTTCTCCAGCTCTGGCTCTTCTTCCTCTGGGAACTTGAAACTCAACGTGTAACCAGGCATGAGTGTGTCCAACTCGTTACTTACCGGCACGTTTCCACCGCCACTTCGGTACCAGAAGAGATTTCCTTCCACGTCCAACTTCCTACTCCATTCGCGACGGTTCCTGGCGCGCCGTTGCTGGCGACTCAACGACGACATTTTCCTTGGTCTGGGTGACATCAGATGCGCCGGTTGGTCCGCATTCATTACAATGCTCATGGCTCCTCCTCTGCTCGAGTTGCTCTCAGCACGTCGAAGTTGATGCTGCTGTTCCTCCTCGTCGCTCTCGTCGTCGGCCGTCACCATGGATAGCGACGGCAGTTTGTCGCCACACAAAACGCAGTAATCGAAGCGCTTGAAGTTCTCGAACTCGCAGCTGGCGCATACGCTATAGCCAGCCTCTGCTTCTCTAGTGGCGGCATCTATTCGATGATCGACCGACTCGCCTGACAGCAGCGGGACCTCCATGTCGAGAAGGTGACGATTGCGTCGACACGCCATAAGCCACACCACAAAGAAGATGATGCACAGCAGCAGCATACCGATGCCCTGGTACAGCATCGACGCCTCCGTCGAGCGCTCATTGTCCATGTTTCACTCCGCGTCCTTGAGGTTTGTGCGGCCTCGAAGTCCTACGTTGTGGAATGACAGTCACAAGGATTGACCAGAGCCAGCGTGACTGCATTTCAGTATGGAACCACGCCCCGGCTTTGCATCGGATTCACTCGGATGTGGATTACGCCTTCATTTAACCCTCGTTAGAGTGACAATCCAGCACAAGAAAAATATTGAATTGTAATTAGTCAGTAAAGTGAAAGTTCAACTTGTTCATTTGTATCACAGGTACTGCAAGTAGCGTATGGCAAAATACTTCCCATAAGCAACTGTAACATTAGTGCTCGTCGGGTGGTTTTACTTCGGGGCTGCAGGGGGCGTGTTTGGTGGCCGTGGCTCAGTGTCGAGCAAACTCGGGCTCCACAATATGCAAATCCAACAACCATCCAATCGCCTCGGGTTTTGTGTTCCATGGTCGGACAAACACAAGTTTACCGACGCAGTAAACGTTACAACCACGTGCAATAGAGACTTTCCACTTCGTCATCGTTAAATAGACGACGCCCAAGCAGCTTTCTCCAGACAGCTTCAACATCGAATTGAGAACGCTATTGTTGCTTTGGTTGGTTTGTGTTACATAACATAACCTTAATCTACGGCCCTTGTGATCCGCATCTTGTTGCCTTCGAGACGTTGGTAGCAACTGCTGTCAGCAATTTGCTGATGCCTTTTTTCCGTCGCGTTTACGGCGCAAACTGTCCGTAGGAATTCTACAGGATATCCAGTGACGCTCAGTCTCGATTGGTGGGGAAAAGTAATCAATTGTAACCCCCCAATGTGGACACTTGTGTGGAGGCTAGAATGTTGTACCTTCGCAGCATGCCCTCGCGGAATAGTTTGTTTACTTCCGTTGGATCTATAGTTGACAATACGTTTACTACGCTGTCGTGAACCCGTACGTCTCAGTGTTGAGTGTTGCATACAGCACTTCCTTGAGCTGCGCTCGAGACGATACCAACGGCAAGTCCAACCGGTTGAAGCACGAGTGACTTCGAATGTAAGGCGAATGCACTCCCTTCAACGTAAATGGGCAAATCTGTCCGTCGTGGCTTGTCAGGTACCGGAATCCCCCGATCGGTACTCTTGAGCATCCCGTTGCAAACTGCAGCAATCGACGGCGACATTCCGAGTGCATATCTCGAACCAATCCCCAGAACCATCGAAGAATTCTTGTCCCTGTGAGATTCCTGGAGCATCTTGTATGCGCTTCCCAATCCGTCACATCAATCGAGTCGCAACCACAGAGTATGTAGTCTAGTTCTTCCGCGTCAAAGAGCATGAAAACCTCTCTCGGAATCACTTGATACAGTCCCTTTAAGAACACGTACAACTGATCAGAAACGCATTCGAGTAAAAAATATTGAAGCCAGCGCTCTGCGAACTCATGCTTGTTCTCGTCAGTCACAGATATATCGTCACCATTGGGCACCAGCTTTACTGTTACCAGGTTGCCAACTGCATCTTTCCTCGTTGCAGTAAAGTCTAAACCGAGCTTATCAGCCCCCTCGTGCTCCAGCATCCACTTCAAGCTCTTGTACGTCACCGGATCAAAACTTTCGAAATCGTGAAAAGTGATAGGAACACCAAGGATAGTCTTAAGCAGTGCCGGTGCAAAGTGGAATCCGATCACTTCACCCTCTAATAGTGCACGCCCGATAAGCCGTCCAAAGGCGAAGAAGTAATATGCTAAATGTTCCTCACCGATCCACTGCTTCGAGCTCACATTGAAGAAATACGTCTGGGTCTCGTGGTTTGTACAGACGAAGACACCCAAACAAGGATTGATAACCAGCTCCGTAACGAGACTAAACCATTCACGGTGTACACCACCCGCATCAACTCCAGTCTCTGCTGCAAAATCTATCCGAACCACTGCACGAGTATCATTATCATCCAAACAGCAAAAATACTCCATCGATTCTTCGACAACATGTTCGCGACGTAGGAAAAGCTTCAACACCTCCAGCTCAGCCGGCACAATTAACGAAGAGGTGTAGGCAACGAAATGCGCGAATTTAGTCGGGAAGTCTTCTTTGGACAAATCTATTAGTTCCTTGATGTCGACGGTCCTTGACGAAGCTGATCCCGTCGCAAATTCGAGCGCATCCGCATCTTCACCAGATAATATCTCCAATTTTACCATCCCATTCTCGTTTCGCAGATTCAAAATTATTGAACCAGGCTCTCCATTATGTAGGACTACCGCCAGCTCTCCGTCCTCACGCTCTTCCTCTTCCTTGTGAAACATTGCAACATATCCAGGATACTGGAAACAATCATGATCGTAGTCTCGATGCCACGATACTTTCTCACATCTGAGCTTCCGCTGCCATTCATTCCGACGTCTGTTCAATCAGCACAGAGTAATTATGAAAACACCGCTCAATTACTATGCAGCAGTGGAAATTCGTTGTCCAGCCCACCTTACACGTAGCTGGCGAGCTGTGAGAGGACTCCGCGCCCGTACTCGCTCTGTTGGCGATAACTTGAGCTTTTCGCCACATAACACACAGAATTTGAACTGTTGAGTATTTGCAAAAGCGCACACCCGGCACCTCACGATTTCTTCCTCTGCATCGCTACATGTAGACAAAATACAACACCAAGTAAGTCACCTGCCTCTCTTCCATATTGCCGTCTTTATCCGCTTACTGCGCTCACATACAGCTTAGCAATGTCGACACGATGCTCGCCTGTCGTCTCCTCCCTGTAGAATTCACAACAAACCTGGTCAAAACTCACAGAGAATGTGCGTTCATTAGACACAAAAAGAAATCTGAACAAGCCGCCACCTGGCAATCAGCGCCTGCTGCAACTCGCTGGCACTGCGCTCGTAGTTTTTACACCGCAGCGCGCGGAACATGTAGGCGACGAGCAAATACATCGCCACCTGGGAGACCAAGATGGTCACCAGCAGCGCGTCCGCCATCTTGTCTTCAACTGAGCGTCATCATCAATATGAAGTCACTAAAATGACAATAGTCACTATCACGCGGTAATTTAAATTTGCAGATACACTTTCAGCATGAGCTCCTTGAGCGACAAGAGCGCGTTAGTGCTGGAGCTGGGGGCACGTTATGCGCGCTGCGGCGTCTCTGGGGAGCGAACGCCTCGGTGTGTGGAGAGATGGCAGGTTCGTCCGCATCTTATCGCCGTAATTGGCTTCAGGATGGCTAATATAATGCGGATGCAGGTGGGGGAAATGCTTCAGAAACCGCTGAGCGCAGCCGAGTGGCGCCAATATCTGTACCCGAAGCTACACTGTTTGTGTTTTGAGTGGGTGTGGTGCATACTCTATTGAATGTATTCCGTAGATGACTTATACGGCAAACAACAGGCGGCTGCTGGTGAATCCGGCGCGACGGCGCTTTGTGGTGTGCGAGGATCTGCTGCTGCCGCGTGTGTTTCGAGAGACACTGCTCAACATCCTCTTCGATGTCCTTCAGGTGGGGTCGAAAAGATTTGTCAGTGGATGTATAGTAGGGCTAATAGGATGGGTTTGCTGTTGTTTAGGTTTCGGCGGTAACGCTGGTGCCGTCGATGATGGCGGTTCTGTACGCTACGGCCAATCACACCGCGTTGGTGGTGGACTGCGGCTGGGCTGAGGCGAGATTGTTGCCTGTGTTTAAAGGGGTTCCTCTGCCGTATCTTTATGAGAGTGAGCAGTGGTCACATCGTTGTGGTAGAATAGTTGATCGGGGACTAACCGATGCGTTGGTTGATTGTGCTGTGCCGTAGCTGTCCCTGTTGGCAGTCGGAATTGCTGCGAAGTTATTCAACGAGAGCTAAATTCATCTCGCGACCAGCCGATGGACAGTTCGAAGATTGTCACGCCGGTGACTGAAGCAATGGCAGAGGATATTCTCGAGCGAGCCTGCTTTGCCCAACAAAAGGTGAAGCAAAACAAACTATCATTCAGCCATGTCATTGCACTAAGCTAAGCTTTTGCATGATATAGGATCCATTGCCCAACATTGTTTACGCTGAGTTTCAGACAGACGACGACGACGTACTAAAGGTTGTCGATAAAGCGCTAGCAAACGCGCTGTGCAAGACTTGACTAATAGTATCGCTTGCTTGACAGGTTCCTGGAAATCTTCGCACTGATGCAGTGGAACAGCTACTTCTTGGTACGTTGTTTATATTGAAGTAGTAGTGGGAAGATACACTTCTAACAGCGTCTTTAATAACCAGGTGACGAAGGCACGGATGGGACATCCATTGTTGACGGCATCGTCCAGGTTTTGAAGAAGGCCCCACTTGATGTGAGAGCGGCAATGCTGGAAAATGTACTCTTGGTTGGAGGAACTGCAATGATTCCTGGTACGATTGACGCTTGGAACAGATTGTTGCAATGTTTTTTAATGCTAACGGGCAATGTGTTCAGGCTTGGCACAACGCGTGGTGGATGAAGTGCGTGAGGCTTTGCACCACGACAACGAATTTGCTTCTGCTTCAGCTGCTGTCGATCGAGCCCAGCTCGTTCAGACCTACTTCCCTCGGAACATGCTTGCATGGGTCGGTGGCTCAGTTTATGCTGCCACGGAAAGCGCTCGTGTCTCGGCTATTTCGTCGCAAGAATACAATAGTTCCAAAGGTACCAGTGTCCCTGATTGGCTCACTGTCGCTGATGAGGAGTTCTAGACTTGCTGGTGAGTAAATGTTACTGCAGTATCAACATAACCAGAAGAGGTACAAATTTGATGGTCAAGCTAGTATTTTCTTCATTCATAAGCTCTGCGATCTAGCAGTTAACACTCTCGTGTTCTTTGTTACTTGCTGGTCCGCATTCCAAGTGGCTTACCAGTTTCGTCCCATGGAGCTTTCATACCGAGATCGGGCATACCTTTGAGGGTAGTAGCTGCACCACTGGGCCGCTTGAGTGGAGCAACATGATGCGGCAGTGCCGACTTGCGTGGCTGCATCTCCTTCGCCGCTTTGGAGTCTGATACAGCCTTGACACCTTCCTCGCGTCTGTGCTCCTCCTTGGCATCAGCTTGGAGCTGGCCCTTGTTGCGTGACGTGATACAGTCGACGGCTGCGGCGTCCTCGTCTTCTTCCTCGTCGGTGAATTCATTCTCAATCTTCCACAGGCTAATACGTCGCAGTTCTTCGCAACCACGAACTCCTTTTCGGTAAGTTTTGAGTTGAATGCCCTCCTTCTGCAGCGAGACGTCAGGGAAATTCGTGTCCAGCAAAGGTTGTTCTTCTTCCCCATTCTCAAGATAGACGTAGAAAGTGAAGTCGTAGTAAAGCAGTACAAGCACCACGCCGCCGATGTGAATCTTACTAGCAATCGCCTCAACCTCCTGTCCACAATGACATGTCAAATTCAGCTTACAATGAAGTGACAAAAAGTGTGCCGACCTGGAATGCTGCACATTTGTCCATGGCAATCTCGAAAAAACATTCGACATTATCGTCCTCGAGCCAACTTCCAACGTCCCCCTTGCTCTTGACGAAGGATCCACCACTCTGAGCCAGATTCTGCACGAATTGCTCTGCTTTGGACATCTCTTCCTGCATGGCAGGCACAACTTCAGCTAGATGCTCCATCGACGGAGTAAACAAGGAAGTCGCTGGCATCTTGGAGGCTTCGCACATGAACGTCTGCATATCATAAATATTTTACAAAAGTGATAAGAGCTGAGCTCCAAAAGGGTAGACAATGAATGATTGAGCATTTACCAGAGCACTTTGCTGTCGTCGTAGCATGGGGATGATGACGGGAATGTCTGACAATTCCAGTTTGGGACCTAGATCCACGTGTCCATTGTAGCACCAGTTTCCAAAACGGAAGAGCACCTCGCGCAAACTTGGTGTGTTCGTAGATCCTTCAGCACGTGGCGTACGTCGGATCAGGAAGGTTTGGTTGTAACCTGTGCCGCTTACGTCCGTGCACTGCACCTTCAATGGTTTCGGTGGGCTTTGGTGTTTGCCAACATTTGCCGCTTGCCACAGCGTAAGTTTCTTCATGTTGCTACAGTCGTCGTCACGGTAAGTTTGAAGATGAATTCCTTGTAGGTGGGCAGATAAATCGGGGAAGCGAACATCCAGCAGCGGCTGCTCGCCGTCAGCCGCCTGCAACACGACGTAGAAACTGCGGTGGTAGTAAATGACCAGCAGCACAAGACCACGTACAAAGGTCTTGCTAGCTACAATGTCCACTCCGTCAAAGCACTCGTAGTCCCCACTTTGCAACTCGAAGAAGGTTTTAGAGCCACCGTCATCGTCACTGTCTACCCAAGCATGTTCTTCAGCTGCCTTCATCAGTTTACGTTCAATACGTTCACTTGAAAGCTCGGCACCAATAAAGTCGTAAACATCGTACAAAGTCTCAAGTGGAGTGAAGTACGGCGACGTCGAGGGAATGGCCTTCCATTCGCAAAGATATTGCAACGAAGCCTGTTGTTTCTGTAGTGCAGGCACGACCACTGGAAGATCGGCGAGCTCCAGATCGGCACTACCCAAATCGACTTTACCACTGTAGCACCAATTGCCACAACGGAAGAGAACTTCATGGAGATTGTCCTTGCTGGACCGGACGATGTACGTCTGGTTGTATCCGTCGCGTAGCGCCACAACCTCAGGGGTGGGGGCTCCGGATTCGTCCGTGTTGATGTCATCTTGGTCAGGTAGGCCCTTCGACGAGGCCCTGTGCGTACTGTTGTCCTCGCCCTTAGCCTCCATTGTTGCGACTGCTTTGTCAAGCTTTGCTGCTTCCCTACTGCCTTCGAAACTGCTGAGAATAGAGGGGCGCCGCTGGATCAAACTCAGCTACTTCGGTTGTGAAACCATCAGCAACGTGGAATCCTAATTGCGGAAGGATGAACATATCAATTGGGATGAAGCCTCGAAACGGATACTAAAACCCAGGCAAAGATTCCCGTTGTCGATTATATCTACATGGTATCTGCACTGACAGGCGACCGGATGCTGTACTATGTGCACTGGGATCAGTCTTGGATTCATTACCACTTGTGCGGCTTGGCCCACGCACCGGTGGGTGCTGGGCCTGCGACGGCAGCGACAGCGACAGCAGGGGCGGAAGGAGCAGCCTGCGTAAAAGGTTTAGCCCAAGCATTTCCAGTCGATCGAGTTGGCTGCGGGGCTGGGGTAGCAACACCTCCAGGCGGTGGACCCCACGCAGCACCAGGAGGAGGCGGTGGAGCCTGGCGACGGACATGTGGGTTCCGAACGCGCGCGTGAGAGCCACGTAGGATGGCCTGGATCTTGGTCGCGGCCTGAGCCTCAGTCAAAGGTAGCGCTTCGGGGAAGGCCGTTCCGATCTTAGTGTCCTTGCCACGTCCGAAACTGAAGCACTTGATGTTGCACAGGTACGGGCCGAGCTGGACGTGGTTGTTCTCCTGGCCATTGAGGTAGCACATAGTGTACAAGGCCATCTCGAACTCCGGGCTCACTCCGATCAAGCTGTAGGAATCATATCAATCTGGTAAGCTAATTGGAGAAGCATAGTAGTGGTTGTAGTGACCGATTCGTACCTCGTGGACACAGGCTTCATCTCGTCTTCCCATTGGAACTGGAACGTAATGAGCTGCTCCTTGTTGTGGGGCTCCATGAACTTGCATCCACGTTGCTTGGGACGGATGTAGCCTCTGTAGTCGATGCGGCCATGGCGCTCCTCATTGTAAACTTGAAGCCAATTGTGGCAGCCACAGATCTTCCCCTGCTCATTTTGAACGTGGCAAACCATTAGTGGCCAGAACACCAAATCTTTTCCAAATACCATCACTCACATTCTTCTCCTCGCCCACAAAGACGTGTTCGAAACCCGATGAGTCATTGCGGACTTCACGGCGGTACAGTCCAAACCAAATGAACTCCAACTTCTTCTTGAAGTCCTGCATATCTCCCGTAAACTTCTTGTTCTTCACCAACCAACTGAAAGTTGAAAACAAGAGTTAGTCCGTGATAATCCACTAGTTGCTGGAGCGCACCCAAAACGTACGCGTGCGCATAGCGCATGGGAGCCGTGTCGATCACGGCATTCAGGAAGGCGTTATTCTCTGCCAGCTCCTTGGGAGTCACTCTCTCCGTCACGCCCGTCTGTATATCAACCAATACAAATATTGCTATAACATCAGCAACAAACCTTGCACGTAGTTCAGACAGTATCAGAGTGCGCACCTCACGCTCGTAGTTGTCAAGCAGGTCAAAGAGCAGCTTGTATGTGCGGCGTTCAAACACGCATGGGTCTACGAACGTGAAGAGCGGATCACGAGCCGCATCGCCGCGGGCATAGGCGGTCTTGCCTTCCTGTAAGTTCAGTTCATAGTGCACGTTGGGCTCCAGCCGGTTGGTGTCAAGCTCCCAGAGCTTGTTACACGCGGCCGACAGGCTCTTGAGCTCTGCGACTGTAACATCGTCAAAGGTTAGTGCGTTAATGTAGAAATTAAAGATGATTTTTGCTGTGTTGTTGCATACAGGTTGGAGTGGCGCTGGCCATGGTGAGTCCCTGGGGGGCTGGTGGATCGAGGAATGACACTTGCATCCGTCCATCAGGACTTCACACGAGTGCACCCACGCTGTCTTATGCAACAGCTGGTGTGTATCGATGATTTACGGCCAATTGTGGCACGATTTTCTGGATTTTTCAGCCAATCGTGCATAGCCTGTCCTGTCACCAATTTTTACTAGCGGAACCGAGCTATGGTACACACTTCTGTACAGACCACCGATGGGTTAGTGCGAGATACTTTTCGCCATGGCAATGGATAAGTAGTAATGGAGATCAGTCTAAGGTGTTTCATCTGTGGAAGCCTAACCATGTCCTAACCATTAGCGCAGCTAAGCTTAAATACGTAGACGCTTAGACTTACAGTAGATCCATCCGCATCGATGTCTGTTAGTACAACGTTGTTACAACTACAAGTTGTATTACGAGGCCGCCAACTGTGCTTAGCACTTCTTCAAGCACCGGCATGGGACTCCGCAGGGCACCGAAAACTATGCTGTAGCAGCGCTGACAGTTAAGTAACACACTCAGAGTGCATGATGAGGAAGCTGTTAGATTTTAGGATTTATTGTGATCCGTCACTGACAGGTCCCGAAGCCCGAGGCAACGGCAACCTGGAAACTGAAGTAGCCGGTTTAACATTGCTGGGTATCCAAGCACCACAGTGTGCAAGAAGGCAATGCAGCTTTGGCGATGGCATCCACAAAATACCGCCGCAGTGGCAAATCTACTTTACACTCAGCGAATGCAAATTGTAATGCGATGTAAGCCACAATAAAATGCTCGTCGAAGCAGATAACGGAAGTCCGAACCTTCGTAACGAGGCTTCAACACTCTCCTGTCGTCTGTCCTCCCATACGACATCTTCAGTTTTCACCTTTCCAAGCCAAAGTTCTCCTACACTTCGTCATGGAACCCCGATCTTTCACGCTTGTCAAACAAGCCAGCAAAAAAAGAGCATGTCGGGTGGTTTTGCTTGGCCAACCGCGATGCTGTGCCTGCCAGCTTGGCATACTCGCATTTGCTACGCTGTAGACAAGCGGTCCCCCTTCTGATCAAGCGTCACGCTCCCCCCAAGTTCCATGTGGGTCCGTCCCGGCGTCCTGAACTCTCGTAGACTGATCTTTTCGTCCGTCTGCGGTCGCTCGCGCTCGACTTTGGGCACTTTGCGCGTTTTCACGTCTTCCCGCGCGGCGCTACTGGCTGCTGGATCTCCTTCCGCGCCCGTCAATGAGGCACTTGGCGCCGGACATGGCTTCGCACACGCCGGCCACGGCCACGGCTTGGGACCAATTAGCCTCTCTCCACCCATCGAAGACCAACAGGCCGTCTACTCCGACTTCATGCCCATCGTACCACCCGAGTGTCTGCGCGTACAGCAGGGTTTGCAAACTGAGGGTCGCACTGTAGGCCCGTCCTCCTTCACCGCCATGTTCCGGGACATGTCGCCCTACATAAACTTCCATCGAGGCACAACCATGGTCATCCACCTACCTGGACAATTGGTGGAATCCAACCTCTTCGGCGCCGTCATGCACGACATTGCATTACTCAATACTTTCGGGGTTAAGCTGGTGCTAGTGGCCGGATCGCGACCGCAGCTTAATCGGCAATTATCGCTCCGGAAACTCTCGCAGAGATTCGACTGTGGTATGCGCATTACAGGGCCCATGGAGCTCCAATGTGCAATGGACGCAGCAGGATCTGTGCGGTTCCAGATTGAAAGTTACCTTGGACGAGGAATCGTCAACTCGCCCGGACGTGCCAGAACTATTAACATCGCTTCGGGTAATTTTATCACGGCGCAACCCGTGGGTGTCAGAGGAGGAGTGGACTTTAAAAACACAGGCGAAATGCGACGACTCAATGTCGATAAGGTGCGCGCTGCATTGGATGACGGAGATATTGTGCTCATTTCGAGCATCGGCTACAGTGCCAGTGGTGAGGTCTTCAACTGCCTCTCGGAACAAGTGGCCAGCAAGTGTGCTATTCAACTAGAGAGTGCCAAGCTTATCTTTATGCACAACGGCGAGGAACTGATCGACTCGCGATCGAACTCGGTCGTGCAGACTCTGGTGATTGAACAGGCACAACAATATGTGGAGCTGGCACGACAAAACCCGGACATTAGCGGTGACTTCTTGCTATACTTGAAGGAATCTATCAAGGCATGTGTCAATGGAGTCAAACGCTCGCATCTAGTCAGCCGACACGTGGATGGTGGTTTACTACAGGAGCTATTTACCCGTGACGGTGAAGGTCTCATGATCACTAAGCACATGTACGAAGGGATCCGCATGGCTACAACTAATGATATCGTGAGTATCATGCGTCTCATTCAGCCTTTGCTGGACGATGATGTGCTGGTGTCGCGTGACCAGGAACAGATTGAGAGTAACGTGGACACATTCACAGTTGTGGAGCGCGACGGTGCTATCATCGCTTGCTGCACCCTTCAGCCGTACGAGAACAACTTTGCTGAGATGGGTTGTGTGGCTGTGGACCCCACCTACCGCAATCTTGGCAAGGGTAATGCAATGCTAGGCTACATTATGCGCAAGGCAGCAGCCATGGGCGTCAATAAGCTGTTCGTGTTGACGACGCGAACGGCTCATTGGTTCTTGGAGCGCGGCTTCGTGGAGGCTACAGTGAACGACTTGCCCCCTTCGAAGCTGGCCAAGATCGACCTAAAACGCAAATCGAAAGTCTACATTTGTGACATCAGCACCAAGAAAGCTCTGGACGAGAAGGAGCTGCTGCTTCAGATGGAATAACGCGGTGAACTTCCAGATTTTACGATTGACCGACTTTTTGACTATCGGCCAAACACCTCATTGATTAGAACGGAGGCAGAAGAGCAGGACATTGCACTTATTTAAATTCACAGCAAGCTGGACAGCAATGACTCTCGGAAACCACTGCTCGGATCTTTTTATCCCATGCTTCTCTATCTTGGTTAACTGACGCTATTTGGCGAGCTCGTCTCGTGTTTGGCAGGCATATCCAGTGTACCCTTGATAACAGGAGCAGACGCCCGTTTTGTAGTTGCACCCCCCACGGTTGGAGCACTCAACAAGGCATTTATTCCCAGCGACGCCTACAGCGGTGCCCCCTGGTACCGCCTTACCCTGGCAGTTGGTTTCGTCTGCAGTCGTGTCGGGGTCGTTTCCAATGGGGCAGTGACCTATTGAAGTTAAACGTGTTACTACTACTGCTATGCGTTGGACAAGGATTAAGCGTACGTTTCGAGCAGTCCGCCCCAAAGTATTCTGTGGCTTGTAGCTCGCCGCTTGCCGTCCCGACAGCCCAACCAGAGTCGCAGACACAGCCGAAAATCCTGTCGGCGTCCCAAGCACCAGAGAACTGCCAGCAAATGATCAAATTACTTGGTGAATCCGATGCTACCGTTTGAAAACGGGCGTACCGGATTGTCTCCGTAGGTTGTTGGGGGAGAAATGGGCAACGCGTTCTTGGCTGCTGCCATGCTGCGCATACTCATGCACGTTCCTCGGTCAGAACAGTCGTTCGGACAACTCACTGTCACATACAACCACCAGTGAGCACAATTTAACACACAATTCTCCACACCAAGATGCGTACTCCTTTCGCATGCAGAGCCTTCAAAACCGGGGAAGCATTTGCAAGCCCCTGCAGCTCGATCGCAGACCCCCATGCCGGAGCATTCGACAAGAATGTCATGAGCTGTAGTGGTGCTTGTGGGAATAGAATTCCAGGCGAAATTTGATGGACATACACCTGCAATGGACGATGAGTTAGACTATCTGCTACATGGTTAATCAGTAGGATACTCACGAGTAGAACAGTCTGGTGACTTGTATTCTGCTACATCCGTTGGTGATCCCCAGCCAATGCTGCAAATACAAACCTTTGAGAGAAGCGTACACGTACCATGACCACTGCAATCATTCACATAGGTACACCCTTCGCCACCTACAGTGCTGCTCTCTTCAATCGTATTGCCTCCTGCGTCTCGAGTGCGTACAATAAAGTTTCCAACCGCATTATTTGAAGACGTGGTAATCTTGTCGACTGTGAACGAGATTCCGCTTGTCGCTGGGATATTCGCGCCTGCAATCTGTAGTTTAACGGAGCTTGGTGTAGAGATAACAGCGCTACTAGCGCCGGGAATATTTACCAAAGAACTCGCTGTAATCGTCCCAGCCCCAACACTGTAGTCAGCAGGAAGTACAGCCTCGATATAACCTCCAAGAGGAATTGTTGTCGAGGTGTCGAGCGTCACAGTCGCTACTGTAAGTGTGTTGGGAGTCTTGAGCAACGGGCGAACACGACCATACGTGAGCGGCTTCTTGACAATCGGTGTACCTGCCACTGTCGTCAACGCTTCCAAGGCATTGCCACCATTATCGGTGATGGTTACTGTGTACGATCCCCATGTGGGAGTGCAATACTCGACAATGAATTCGTCGCAGGAGGAGCCAGGATTTACGATGTTTTGCAGCCTAAATCCACGTCCGGTTCCAGGTAATACAGCAATATTTCCCAGCGTCACTCTTGCAATAGTTGAACTGGCCAGAGAGACAATAGTATTCACGATAGGCAAGTTTGTGATGTGACTCAGGGTAGCGCTGCTAATGTCAAAACGGGACGGAAATGTTACCTCCACTCGACTTCCTGGTGGCACGTAAGCCAAGTTGGCAAACACCACGTTGTATTCGGTCGTAACACCAGCCCAATAGGATACAGGAGTTATCGTCGCTGACGGAAGCGTTGTGCTTGTGAATGTTAGTGTGTTCGTAGCAGTACTGACTTGAAAAATGGCACCATTGGGATGCCGCGTATCAACGTAGAACGGTGGTGTGGACAGTGCTGCAGCATTAATGATGTTGCCGTAGGTGATCGACACAGTTTGTCCTGCAGCGATGTCTTGACCAGCAATTGTGAGGAGAATATACGGTGATGACACTCGCAGCTCCGTTGACGCTAGATCGATGCCCACCAAGCCTGCAAGAGTAGCGCTGCTGAACACGATCGCGCCGCCGCTGAGAACAGGTACTTTCAGCGCAATGACACTTCCAATGCGTAACGTGACATCGGTTGTCAAGGTGGCCGTGTAGGACGTTGTTCTACCAGCAAGCAATGAAGGAGCTGTCACCGTAGCAGCATTGGACATAGTCCAAGAAGTGAAAGTAGAGCCTGGTACCGTTACTGACTCCAAGGTTGTGCCACCAGCATTCTTAGTGCGGATGAAGTAGCTTGATGACAAGCCCAAACCTGCGAGCTATCATGTCAGCCTTCCCAGCATTTCATTCCGACAGGACGCAGCGTACCTGGATTCGAAATGCTATCAAGAGTAAAGGAGATGGCTCCAGCTGCAGCATTGGTCGTTGCAATCGTGATAGTCACTACGCCAGTAGCGGGTGATGCTACTATCGTACTAGTTGAATCTATGCCAACAATGTTGGACAACGTCGACGCCGAGTCCACGTAGAAAGCAGAGGGGAATGTCAAGACGATCGTCCCGCCGACCGGGATGGTGGTTCCTGTCGTGAAGGCCACATCCACCGCTCCCGTGACGCCACCATTCAGAGATACCGGAATCACAGACGCCGAAGTGATCGCCGCATCACTAACCTGCACGCATAACGCCCAAAGCAGCAGTGAGATCAGCATTGTGTCAATGGCAGCGTTTCCTTTCGCAGCTGTTCATGACTTCCAGATGGATACAGTAGAGTTCTAGTTTGAACTGGAAATCATAAAATATTCTAGAACACCATTGACATTCATAAACCAATATGTGGCGTCGAGCGCTTGTGCGTTGCGCGCCAACGCTGCGATCGTCGTGCGCTGCGCCCCAGTCGCTCTCGTCTCAGGCGCTGCGCCGGGTATGCACAGCCAGCTCCTCCGCGTCTCATCTGCTGCACGTTTCCAGAGCCTCGTTTCCGCACTTGCACAGCCATAGTCGCTGCTTCGCCACTCAGAGCGGCGATATTGAACCACCAGTTTCGCCGACGACTTCCAGCGAGTCTACAGTCTCGGCCACCGAGTACTCTGGTGCACCTGGAGTAGAAAGCCCTGGTGAGAAGTTCGTGATGGTCTACACGTGCAGCGTATGCGAGACGCGCTCAGCCAAGACCATCAGCAAGCACGCCTACTACAATGGAGTGGTGCTGGTGCGTTGCCCTGGCTGCGAGAATCTGCATCTCGTCGCCGACCGGTTGGGCTGGTTTGAAGACGACTCGACGGACGTGGAGAGTCTGCTGAAGCAGAAGGGCGAGAGCGTCCGCTTCGTCACGGGTGAGAACGTTCTTGAACTCACAGAGAACGACATCCTTGGCAGCAAGAGCGAGGAATAGACGCCAAGTACAATAACAGTGAGGATTCTTTTGCAAAATAGACATTCTGTTCTTGCAGAGAACGCGTTGGATACATGCCTTTTCAATTGATGTGTTCAACCGCCTAAAGTAAACGCTGCGAGATATTTTCTAGCTTCTGCTCGGCTCAATCTACGCGGATTGACGCTGGAATGAGCTGGATTAGACTGATTATTCCTCGGTGAGATGCTGAAGCCACACCCTCCGGCCTTCGCCGCGAAACATGACCTGCTCGTGCGTGTTCACCTGTACGGAAGGGTTCGCAGATGCCAGCTTGGTGGTCTTAGCTAGACGCGTCGAGTCGATCGTGCTGGTCTCTATGTGGTGCTTGCGCTTTTTGCTCTGGTTCTTGTGTCGAACCATGTGCTCTGACAAGCTCTCCTCCTTCCCGTACACACGTGAGCACACGGGGCATTTGAACCACTTCTTGCCGTTCTTCATCTCGATGATAGGTTGGAGTTGATCAGGCAACACAACGGGCGCCAAGTTGGTTTCACTCGACGTCTTCTCTTTGTCCTCTTCGGGTTTACCCGCACATTTGTGGAACTGCATACCGCGACGTGCGTTAAACTTCATATCACAGAGCGGACACGTAAACGGATGCAGCTTCTTCTCATCCACAGCTTTGTTCGGTAGCAGCGCTAGACTGGCGATACCTGCCTGCTTGTTTTGGCCGATACGAATACCATTCTGTGCCGAGTACATCTCCTTGCTTGTCTCCATGTACGCTGCGATCACACAGCCAGCCACCATAGCGTCGAATTGATGCACATGCTCACGGACGTCACGGAATTCAGCAAACATTTTCTTAGCGCGACTTCCAACAATTTCGTGTAGATCCAAATTGCTGATTGTGTGGTCAATCAAGCGGCACGCTTTTTGTTTCATCTACAGGCCACGCCATCCACGTGAGTAGGCTTTAAAGGCAGAACAATGAAATGCTGCCAACCGTACCTGGTCCTTGTAACCAATACGCGTTCTTCGCTCATCCTTGCCCATCTGACTAAGGTTCATCTCGACGAACTCGGCTGCGCGTCTCAAGTTCCCAGCCATCTCTCCATCCTAGATCAAACCAGCACTCGTGAAATAAACGCTTCCCTCCCTTCGGCACCACCACTCTCAATTACCTGCGAAATCAGTGTCCGTAGGTTGTGACCAGTCGAGAACAACTTGTTGGGCGCAGGTCCGTGGTGCGACTTGTCCTCTTCGCCTTCGAACTTACGGTAAGCGCTTCCTTCGTGCACAATGTGGTCCTGCACCACTGTACCGCATCCATTACCATCCACGCCATTACAGATCGTATCTCCACGTGCGTAGTCTGTGATGAAATTGTTCTGCTCTGTGTTGCCGCAAGTCTCGCATCGAAATCGCGGTGCTGTCAACATTTCAAACAGGATTAAAACACAAAAGTCACTACCTCTTTTACAGCACCGAACAACTCCACCAGCGCGTATATTAGCCCGGAATTTACCTGTCTTCTGCTCAGCATCGAGCTCCGAGAACTCGTCAGCGTCGGACTTGCCGGCCTGCTTCATCTTGCGGATCAGCAACATCACGTCGTTCACCTTAAGTTCGGGCACCAGCAAATTTACGATACGCTCCTCCATGGGCAGCGCTGGTTCATCGGCTTGTCTGGCAGCTCTAGCAGCTGCAGCACGAGCTGCCGCCTCCTTTTTGGCTTTCTTGGCCGCCTCCGCCTTCTTTTTCCTGTCGATCTACAGCCAGCATCAAACTCCATTAAAACACGAGTCTCCACAGCAAATAATACGCAAAACTAATTGCTACAGACCATGACGAGAGGCTCATCATCCAGCGACGGCCGGCCACCAGCCTCCGCGGTCGCGTTTGCCTCGGCTTCAACGGCTCCGAAGCCCGCGAACACATCTTCAGCTGCGCCGTTGTTCAGAGCCGCGAAGAAGTCGTCAGCACCGGCATCGAGGTCCATTGTGGCCAAAGGTTGGTACGGTAGGGTACGTAGGGTGGAACCCCGTGTCTCTGTGGTGCCAGGGGGGCAGGTAGAGCGAGGGAGGGTGAGCACTTCTCCCCCACTTGTTCAAATGGCGAGTGAATGAATACTCAAGAGGCAGAAATATGGAAGTATCGTAAATGACCAATTTATGGCATTGGTTGTTTGTTTGGGGTGTGATGGATTGCTATTTAAGGTTTCCAAGATGGAGCCATGCCTGTTTCCGATAACTAGCGCGACAAACTGGGCATAGCGAGACTTCGTAGATGTTGAAGTCCTCGAATGCAGAGAGGCATTGCGAGTGAAAAGCATGAGAGCAACTGAGGAGAGATACACCCTCCATTGACGAGCTGTGTGGCAGTTTTCATGAGACACTGATTCGTTGATAGGAAATTGATAAACAAAAACTTCGTACCTGAACGCGTTAATGCAGATAGCACATTCGCGTTCGCCTCGAGCTTTGGCCTAAACGAATGGTCAGCAACGTTAGCAGTGTTGATGATTACGGCGAAATGGAGTTTTTCGACATAGCTGTAACCTTTTTGAAGATGGCAAACCAGTCGTCGCCTCCAGGGAACGAAGATCCTGTCGCCGAGGTATGCAGAAGTTAATGATGTGGCAAAACAAGTCCAAAACTACAGTAGAAGTCGTCACCAGTACCGGTCTCAGGGACGTGGTCTTGGAACACACGGCGGCTCATATTCAACGACTTGTCGAACTCAACAAGTAGAGCATCTATCGAGTCATCGCGCATGCTCATTGCGGTCACCAATCGATCGGTTGTTTTTCCTACCCTACAAGTAGGCAAATGATGAAGCAGTTGAGCCTGATGAAGTGAGGTTCAAAACGTGTTCATTATGGTACCTGTTGGCGAAAAATCGACGACGACGAGCGGGGTCACCGTTGCCGGAGCTATAGAACTACATGTACAGATGAACACAGCGCGTAAAAACTAACCCCAGCATCGGGGTGGTCGGGTAGCAATGATATAACCTACCTTCTGCCACAAGGTTGTTGTTTGTCGTCTCGTTGCAAACCCCCGAAATACGGCCTACATGCAAACCAAGTATTACACTAGATAAACTTTACCATCATCAGATTTCTTCGAACCTGAATTCGCTTGGCACTGCATTCGCGATGAAAAGCTGATGCCACAGTGGTGCACCGCTTTTGGTAGTCCTGCTTCCGGCAAAGTGGGCAAACGTGCTGATTCGTGCGCAAAAATCTGGATTGATAAGTTATTAGTATGCGTCGTACGAACAAGATATGGTGATGAACTTGCCTTTCAAAACTTGTGATGCAATCGAGATGGAACATGTGCGAGCAGCTTAAAATCACTTGTTCTTTTACTCCGAACGGTTCACGGCAGATAGAGCACGGGTGTTTGGTGTCGCCACGTTCTTGTGCTTGCTGTTCGCAATGCTCCCATTCATCTCGTGTGAGCTTCGGTGGTGGCCGAGTAACCTGAATTACAACAGCACAGTGAAGAATACTGGATGGTCACATTGATCGTCTCGAACGTACAAGGCCTCGCTTCTGCGCAAGAGTTAATCTAGGGCGACGTTGTTGGCTACGTTGCGTTCCACAAGAAGAGCATCGATCCGAATCTCGGCCGCAATTACTTGAGCGCGGCCTCTCATTATTTTCGAAAGTGCAGGTCTCGCAAACCCAGACACATCGATATACAGACTTTGACATGTTCCGAATTGTCAAATCGTCATTGTTCTCAATCTGCTAGTGAGCCACTCATGTGAGCGATATGTCCTTCAGAGTTTCTAGTATATGAATGCAAAAACAGGATGCCTACAGTTGGTTTTCGAGGTCTTCTTGAACGAATATGCAAGTCGAGTGTAATGGATCGTGCTAGGTGATCCTGAGATCATCCAAGCGTCAGTAGAAGCATCAGGATAAATAAATATGGTGGGTCTACCTGTAGCGCGGCTGCATTGATGACCGTGGACTTGTCCAGTTTGGAATATGGAAGTGTAGCTGCAATAAGGCCACAATAAACCAAATCAATTCACTGAGTTCTCCCGGTAGAACTTGATATCCATCCACCTTCGGTACGTCTTCCACGCCTCATGGTTTCGTTGACAACAGCGATCAAGAGCAGTTATCGAAGCTGCCCTTAGTGTTGAGGACAAGCCACGTTCCGTTTCGCTGAAGTCATTGCGCCAAGGGTCGGTCGAGATTCTGTCCATTCCAGATAACGGCTACTGTCATCCTCGTGCCGTTCGTTCATCTATCATCGCGAATGGAGCCGAAGCGTTTTGACATCGACGAGGAAGAACTCGGTTGCAAGATCCGCAACGTGAAGCTGAGCGAAAAGTGCCGCTTGAAGGATGAAGAGAAACCCGTCAAGGATGATGAGTCCCGTGCCGCCCAAGCCAAATTGGATTTCGAGGTCGAGCGGGAATGGAAGCAACTTCAAGATGCTGGAGTTGGCAAGATTGAGATTTCCAACAGTTCCTGGGCAAAGAAGGTCTGCAAGGGCCTTACCATGTAAGGGAACAAGTAGAGTCCATAGAATGTCACGGCAATGATCACTGATGCGTTTATTCTGCTGGTAGTAACCACATGAACATGCGTTGTGCCGACACGGGTCGGCTGATGTGGCAGTCAGATGAATGGTACGTTCAATCAACTAAATTGGTGTCCGTATGATCCGCTGGTTATTGACTTTATCTAAATGTTGATGCCAGGGGCCAGGATATCTTCCGCGTCGAACAAAAAGGTAGCACAACCGATATTTGCTGAAGTCATCCAGGTGCTAATCGTGCATTTTGTAAGTTAGCTCGTCTTCCGGTGGAGATTTTGAAGTGCCCTGCTGTGTCTCGCGAGATCAACTTCAGCTCAGCTGAAGAGATTACCAAGTTTCGACTGGAACAGCGTGTCTTCTTAGCAGGAAGCTGCATTGAAGGTACGTCTCTGTTCACGCTTGAGAATGAATGGACTACACTGAATGACTTTGTGCATCTATTCTTCGAAAGAATGGATTTTCAACTTCGGTTATGTGATCCCGGGCTCAACTAATACGTGGCAACAAACCATTGAATCAGCCGGCCCGGAAAATATGCTTGATCCGGAGGTGATGAGGTACGATTCATTGCCTCTTGTTTAACTTTAATGCCTTCATCTCACGGATAGTTCATGTTCCAGCGGCAAGCTCACGATTGAAACGGCATTCTACGACGGCCAACTGCCGATTGCCAAGACTGTCTACAGAATATATTACGTCTGATCGCGCTGGCGCCAACCAAGACAATGCGCGCACAGTGAAGCACCACAACGCCCCCAGATGAGCAAATAGCTAAAGGCAAATGCATGTACCGCAGACAACACCGTTCTTTCATGTCGAAACTACTGCCGCTCTATAGTTCTAGGCGCTTGTCCACTTCTCGTGTTTCACCTGCATTGATCGCGTCGATGGGATCAGGATAGGTAGGCAACTCAGACTTGAATAGGTACAAGTCGCGGATCCGAATAGGTCGAGGAAGTGCTCGCAGCTCTGCAAGTTCCGCTTTTGTGGCGTTCTTGCGTTGTTCGTGCGCTATTTTCTCGGCCGGATTGCCACGGCCGATCACCTGAACAATCAACTTCTTGGGGCTTTGTAGAATCCACTCGCGGTAGTGCTGAGCCATCTCACTCTTGGTCAGCGTCTCCATCTCCTTGGCCAGCTGAGCGTCCATATCGAACGCAAGTCGACGCGACGTGATCTCATACCAGTAGTGGTGCGTCGTCTCTAGAAGGTTGTGATCAGGCTCGAGTTTCAACAAAATCTGCGCTTGAATGTGATCATGGAAGTGCTCGTCCGCCATCATCTCGATCGCCTCTTCAAAGTCAACCATGAAGCGGTCAACACACGCAGTAATATACTCCGCTGCGAACAATGATGACTGAACCATCACGCCAAAGCCCAAGATGCCGTTCGTCACACGAACAGTGCAAGAAACGTCGTAACCCAGCTCCTGCTTAGTGCGCAGAGTATCAAACAGCGGTTCCTCCATCAACTGGTGCAGCAAGTCAGCGTAAGCCAGGCTACGCAGAGTCAACGGGCCGATCTGGTAATAGAGTTCCACTTGAGTGTTCGTCTCGGTCTTGTTCTCGCTGCGCTCCTTAAGTAGAAAACCCAAGGGTGTCTGGGGGATGGCATTGATAAGACGACGCGGAAAGTCACGCAACTGGAGCGGTGCAGACACACTTTGCAGCTGCGATTCGACATTGGCGATCATCTTCGACGCTACTGCATGAGAGATATTTCCATGTGCAAAACTCGCCAACCACGCCTTGCCCGCCCAGAGTTCGTTCGAGACGTACTTCTTCAGCGACTCCACGGTAGCAACCTCGATCGAGTCCAAACATTCCTCCAAAGAAAATGAGCGAATTTCCAGAAGTTGCAATCGAAGATATTTCGCTTTTTGTGCCACCTTCGTGATCGCGTTCTTCGATTCGCGCATCAATTCCTCTCGCATCACTTCAAAGCGTGCTTCATTGATCTCCGTCCCAAACACAGCCGCAACGACTACCTCGACAAGGATGTGGAGCTTATCGTTGAAGCCGCCAAAGATCAACTCCAGACCAGACTCCTTTACCTGAAGTGAGTACATGAGCTCAGCCACGTTGGCGTGGTAGGCGTACTCGTTAAGTGCATCCCGAACGAGCTTCACGTACAGCTGAGTATGACTCCAGTTGTCCACATTGGCCACCACACTGGGCAAATGTATCAACATCGCGACATGAGCACGAGGTGTAGCAAACACGCGATCCGGCTTGTACCACAACTTGCCGAACTTCGTCGTATCACACACAAGGCCCTCAACATCTGTCGAGTCCACAAGCGAGAAATCCCGAGGGATAAATTGGTTTGGACGAGGCAAGTGCAGCTTGGGGTTACTCCCTGCACTCTTCCAGCGTTGAATAATGGCTTCCGTAATATTCTCTTTCGAGTACCTGACGTCAAACCATTCCTCCTTAATAGCCTATCACAATAAAAAAAGTCAATACTCAATGGTCAAAGCTACAGATAACCCTGCTTCGTGATATACCTGCTTCTGAAATTCAACAGAGTCTTCAAACGTTTGGGAAACGATCGAGACACAGACGGACTCGGCAGTCAGGTGACTCAGCACTTCTTCTGCTAGCTCCTTCTTGAAGACCCCCTTGAAAAGGTCGTACCGCAAGATGTCCTCTGGCGCCACTCCGAACATCGACTGTACCCATGCAAGTAGTTGATTCAAAATTGCACAAAGGTATCACTATGATACGATAATGCTTACCTGCATAATCTCACCCAACTCTTCGCATCGTTCGACTGCACTATCCTCTTCCTGAAAGCGGAACGAAATGTCCGCCAGTGCCGCTAGCTCGTCAAATACCCACTCGGGGCAGCCATGTACCCTGAGCATATGAAGATACTCAAATACTGCATGGACGATTTCTTCCCAGTGAGAAATGCCCTCTAGTGTGAGCTTCATCGTGATATCAAACTTTGCTGCGTAGCTACCGCTGTCGTAGCCGTCTGTGTCTGTTACTCCGGCGGTGACAGCTGAGATCCAGCCTCGCTCTTTCAGCTGCAGTGCACACGGCATGAAGCGTAAGTATAACTTAAACAAAACAACTAATTAGGTTGGCTAGCTTACATGTGACAGCACAGATCCCTCGCTTTCGTGGCCCAGGAGACTAGCAATATAGTCCGATGGCTTCTGGTGATGTTGACCAAGAACCGGAGGGATCATCCAGTCAAGATGAAGGGTGTGGATATCCCGGACAGGCACGATCTTGCAGAGGAATGGAGCACCAGCACCTCGAGCCCCAAACGGGGGCCCTGCTGAAGCAAAAGATGGCACTTCCACGTGTTTGTTCGGAATGGCGCTGAACGACTTGGCCACCCACTGCTCTAGCTCATCCAGCGTGTTTTCACCACATACAACAAGCTTCATGATGCTGGCCGAATAGTATTTGTTGTAGAACTCTAGAATCTGCTGTCGCACGTCCACATTCATCTTCTTCGGTATCTCCTGGAGACTCTTCTTGTTTCCCCAGCCGAACCGATGGTACGGGTGCGTGGCAGACGATATGTCGCACAGAACTTGTTGCGTACGGATACGGTCGTTCTGTGTGGCCTGGCTAAACTCGGACTCGATGGCTGACAGCTCCCTGTCCATGGCTTCGGCCTTCATTAGAGGAGAGATGAAGAAATGCGCGAACATGTCGAGCGCAGGCTCCAAATGGTCCGGCCCCACCTCGAATGTGTAGCTAGTCACCTCGTTGTCCGTAGCCCCGTTGCTATAGCCACCATGAGCGCTTAAAAAGGACTCAAACTCGTTCTCATCCGGGTACTTTTCGCTGCCCATGAACAGCATGTGCTCTAAGTAATGTGCCAGACCAGGAAGCGACTCGGGTTCAGCAAAGCTGCCGACGCCTACAGTGAGACAGGCTCCAGCGCGACGGATAGGTGCACCCTCATGTTCTTCTTCATTGTCATCGAAGTTGCTTCCATCGCCTTCTTCGCTCTCGCTGAAATCGCTGCCCTCATCGCTGTCGCTCTGATTGCCATCCTCTCGGTTCGCACACTCGCTCTCGCGCGCCACAGCTGCCGCTACGTGCGCCACCTCCGCCGTGGAGATGAGGAGCGCCTGTAGCGCGTTGGGAAGCGTCAGCAACCGGTACTTCTTCTGGTCATTAGGCGACTTGGACTGCTCCACCGGGTCCGTCATTGGCGCCGTAGCCTACGATTGGGAACTAATGAGCAACATGACGATCAATTGATTCCCATAATTATGGTCCGATTTTGAAGCCATGTCTGCAGCTTATTTAAATCAAGTGATAAATTTGTCTTCTTTGATGAAAAGAGTACGTTTTCATTTTGGGACTTATTTTGTGGAGTCTCGCCAGCCACAGACGACAAATTGACACCATGAAGCTCGGCCGAGGCATCAACGTGGAGCACATCAAGCGTATGACGCTGCGTACCGTGCGCGAGAGCACGGAGGGACAACCAGAGACGCTTGCGTTCTTGGACGCTCTGGAACGCAACGACTTCGACGAGACGAAATGCAAACGCGAGGCACGCCACATGATGCTCGTGCTGGAGGCCAAGAGGAAGCGTCGCGCCGCTGAGCACCGCTCCACGCTTAACTTCCACGTGATCCGTATGATGAAGGGGCACCACGACCCGCGCCGCTAAGCGAGACAACGGACAGGCAAGAGACTATAGGGAGAGCAGAGGAGACGCCGACGGCAGAACCCTATCATTTAACCGATAAACTCTCGCTGGTGTCGCGTTTGCGATACCAAGCGCCGTTTTGCATGTGTTATTGACGTCGTGTTGCTTCAGATTGGGAAGTGAGCTATAAGTTGATGTTGCTCCGATTTAGGGAAATAGGAAAGCGTCGGTCTACTCGGATTTTCAGCACTCGACATGCTTTGGAATCGGGAGTCTAAGTTTTCTGCGTAACATAAGTTTGTTGCCTCAAAGTCAAACACGATCGGATAAGTATACCGAAAGGTCGAGTATTCAAGTGCGAATGATCCGTTCCTCGCGGCAATGGTGCCTGAAACGATGGTCAAGGTGAACAGTTCGTAGTGCATCCATATGCACGACCAGCGGCTTTAAGCTGGAGCAGGCACACCTTAACACCGCGGCACTGATTTACGCGTTATGACGTTGCTGATTAGGCCGTTATCGATCGAAGAGAATGCAATCAAGTGCATAAGCCTGAATTGCCAACATAAACGACAGTAAAATTTGCTCGGGCACTTATCCTAAAGGTGCTGGATGGACAATATTGGAGCTGCCCCACTACATGTAACAATACCAGTGAGCTTTTCCACCGTTGGTTGTTGGCACCTCTTAAAACTATACTACTTCTATAAAGATGCCGCTGCAGTTCGTGAAGGTATTGACAAATCTGTATATTACTGACAATAGTATGAGACTGGCACCTAGGCTGCTCGCCCTAGCTGGAGCGAGCATTGCCGTGAGTTGAAGTTTATTGGTGCTTACAATGTCTGGCGTGAGCCTCATTCAGTGAGGTGCCATTGAGCGGTTTGTCGCTGTCAAATTTCGTGAGCCCATTCAGTGAGATGTGAATCACACCGGTTGCTTGAGTCGCAATCAAGTTCCCATGTAAGCCGCGGAGGGTTTGATCTTGTGGATGACCTCGACTGCTGGTTCCAGGTCTTCAATCCTGGAACAGATTTCCTTGCTTGAGCTGTTCTCGTCTCAATAACGGTTAAGCAATTATTTCTTGTTATTGAAGTTAGTGTAGCCATCTCAAAATGGCTCGATACCATTGGACAAAAACATTACAAGGTGAGTGGTAGAAAATCGAATTTGTTTGGAAATTCAAACAACAACATCGAGCTTAAGCGACAGAGCGAGCGCTGGATGGACACCCTCCAAGTGCAGAAGGAGAACGTGGACGCCAACCTTGTCGGGAATGGGGCTACTGGCAAGCTTCACTTTGGAGGTAGGACTAAAGTATTTTTTAGCCTCTGTAGCAGCACCCTCTTCCTTTCCAATATGCTAAACTAGCCTCTTCTTGTCCACCTTATCGAATTGAAAGGCACAAACAAGTTATCGACGCCGAAGCGCAGCTTCGTGATCCATGACGACTCCAAATCTACTGGACAGAAGGAACTGAAAGACAGATCGACAAAAAGCAGGTGGGGCTTGGATTTCCGTGACTATATGTAGTTATTGCCGGTGGCTAGAGCCTATCTGTTAACAAGGTGCGAAATCCCTGTAGCAGACGTGTGCTCGGTGATATCTCCAACAAGCAGCGGGGCTGCCACAAGGATAGCAACGCAGCTGGGATCGCATCAACTAAGAAGGGTCTGGGTGGGCATCCGAAGAAGCTCAGCTCCAGCAGGAGGACACCCCTGACACCATTGAGATCAAAGTCAGGAGCTTTAGAAACACCAAAAGCACGGGCTTCATTAACTCCAAAAGTTCGAGCGACACTGATCTCCAAGGGTGCAATCAAGACGCCACGCGCTGAAAAAGTTCCGGTGAGTGGCTTCTAGCGCATTATCTCGCAAGTTACTCATTTTGATGATCTGTGCCATTTCTCCTGTAGGATATCGAGTTCGCATACGGTGGACTTTCGTCTCCTAAGGCAGATTCGGCGTACATGAAGGACTTGGGTGATGAGATTTGGCGAGACATTTTGAATGATGAAACGCCGACGCTTTTTGATGATTTCGATCTCACCCGCGCAGTCGATGCCTGGGATGATAGCCGTGAGAAAGCCATGCTGGAAAGTGGAGAACCTCCTTCTTTGTGGTGGGCTTCGCCGGATCTACAGACGAAAAAGGAAACAGGAGATTCGGATACTAAACAGTCGGAGAAGGAAGAAGAGCAGGACGATGATCTCAATGACCTGCCACCACCAGACAACCTTGGTGAAGATTCTGTTGCCGACCTCGATAATGACGGATTGCTCGAGGATCTCCTCAGTGTGGACGTTGAAGCGGTGTGCAGCGAGTAGTAGTCCTCAATTGCTTCGGAAACATGCTCCCCGAACCTGCTGTAGTCTGTTTTATAAGAATTTCATTTCAAGCGTAACCTATCTAATCGAAACCAACATTTCACTGGTTGCCCATCCGTGCTATCGTTAGGAATTTGGAAAGGGCATCGTCCTCTGTAGCTTGCCAGTCATCAATTGATGAGAAGAATGCATGGAGCTGCTCCGCAGGTGATGGTCCTGCCGACTGTCGCCGAGATGATATTGGCACGCCACGCTTGGTGCATTCCAGCACTTCTTGTGCTCGCTGAACCATTGTTAGTGGTATTCCTGCGGTGTCGACGTGTGGTTAGATCGTATCTCTCCACTACAGAGGCTCAAGACAGAACGTACCGCACTTTGCAGCGCAAGTAAGCGCATTGCTGTGACTCGATATACCATGACGCAGCTCGTACAGCGGAGCAGCACTAGACGTCGCAGAATATGATTCTGGCGCGTCCGTCGATGCCATAACGGTGCAAACTACACGAGCTGTAGTGGGTGAGCCTTCACGTTGTTCTCCTTCATTCTGACGAAGTGACGGGTTGACAATCAATTCTGGCTCAAGTAAATCATTTCGGAATATCTCCTGCTCACGAGTAGTCAGATGATCATAACTGCAATGAAGGCAATGAAGGCAACAAAGAACAACAAAGAATATGAAGTAACGCACCAGAAAGTGAGTCGTCATCACAACACGCGGTCTTCCCGGTGTAAGGCGCTTGGTAGCGAGGTAGTTGATGATGGAACTCTGTGGTAGCACTAGAAATCTAAGCAAGAGGCGTCATCGTAAAACGACCATAAGCGGAATGACTGCATACGAGCAAAGCTATTCCGTCGAGTTCCGCCGTTCCTTCAAAGGATGAACGTGAGCTGCCAGATCAATTTAGGAAATGGAAAAACTTGCAAACCTTTCCCAAATTCGTCGATCAAGAACAGCGACCGACCGTCTCCGTGGTTTAGCATCCATGCCATCTAAAAGCAAAAACGCTCAAATAAAATTTACCCATTGACGATATGATAATCGATCGCTTATTGTTGTTTTACCTGGTTACAGTCGATCGTGAACGAGCTCTGGGATACTGTCGCAGATTCCATACTAATAAAATGTCAGCTCCTGTACACTGGCACACAATGCTGAAGACAATTACCCTCACCTCTGGATTCTGGTGAAGACTTTCGTAACCAGTCCAATCTCCGCTACAGGTTGCTGTTAGTAATCGAATTTTGCAGCGCTGTCTAAACATCTTGAGCATGTACTCTGACCTTTTTCGGCTGGAACGAAAGATCCAATTTGAGCCATGTATTGCAGAAGGCCAACCATTTTCAAATACACAGATTTGCCTGGAAAAGGCAGGATTGTTAGCATATCGACTGGTGGTCAACTTATCGAAGTTGCATTGCCCACCCGATCCATTATGCCCCGTAACAACTGTGATGGAGTCACTAGAATCGAGAAAAATATCGTTCGGAATGTAGCGCTCAACAAGTAGCTCTTGGAGAGGGTGGCGCGCCTGGGTTGCCTTCAATGTGCTACCCTCAGAAATCAACGGTCTAAAACCATAAAAACCAGTTAGCCATAACATCATTTTGTAGTTGATTCACCGTACCGGGTAAAGTTGAAGCTTTTTGCGCAGGACGCGAACGAAATCAAGCAGTCTAGGTTCGACATGATCCAGGTCATTTCTGTAGAGCACCGATCAGTTATTGGAAGCTCAAGCTTGAAAAGAGCGGTATTCACCATGAATGCTGCCTTCATACTCCAACAATGCCATCGTTAGCTCTTCCAGGAGCTCTGTAACATCAATGTCAGTTTATCAGCAGCCATTACTAAGCGCAACGCTACAGGAGCTTCCTACCCCTTTGCAGGTCGAGAATGTATCCTGCAACTCGAATGTGTTAGTAGCACGAAGTGAACAATGTGTTTACCAATACTGTGTACGGTATAGTATTTTACCGTAGATATCTCCGATGGATTCGTCTAAATCGCGGCAGCAAGCATCCTAGACGGGCGAGCGTGAGTATTTCGAACAGGGTTTGTGGAGACTGCGCACCTTATAGTAGAAAGTCGTGTCGTCTTCTTGGAATTGGAACACGAAATCCGGTAGTGTAGTGGGCGATTCACAGCAGATCACATATCCTACTTGAGGAATGTATTGGACTGTAATCGATGACAAAACCGGATTTGCCTCCTGAACCTGAAACGCGACCTCCGTCAGCACCTGCCCACACGCAAATTAATCACTGAAATCATTTTGCAAACAGCAATGCAGCAACTTCGTACATTGTCAAGATCTTCGTAGCGCTGTCGTGCTGCATCCAGGGTATCGGATATTCCACTTCGGATAACCACAGTACTTTCTTGTTGACTCTCTTCGAAGTCCACTACGTTTCCAAGGAGATTGCTAACGTGGGTGACACCGCGCTCAGATTTTACCCTTGAGAACACGCTGGGCAGCGGAGATATGCTCGTTTCAGAAGCATCTTCGATCAGGGACCTACCGTGAATAATCCAAAACCAATTGTCCCATATTAGCATTTACCATACAAAAAGCTGGGTGCCTTACTGTGCTTCCAAAAAGCTTCCAATTGAGGTGATAAACCGACACCAGTCACCAACTGAAGCGCAGCGTCTTTTAATGCGCTGGAAAATCCCAGCTACATCTCGGAAATGCTTCAGCTTTCCAAACTACATCTAGTCAAATCACGCATTGCTTTGACCAAGAAAATAGGCAAGTATACCAGTAGTTGCCGCAGTTCGTCGTTTTCGGTGTCCGTGAAAAATGCGACCGAATTATGACGCTCGTTGATATGGGTATTGCTGACAAGTGGAGTCAGCATCCAACGGCGAAGCATGCTTCCCCCCGATTTGGTCACGGTTCGATTAAGAAGACCAAAAAGACTACAGAATTGTAAGTTAGCAGGTATGTACGAGATAAAATATAAATCCACGCCACCTGAAGCCTTCTTTAGCTCGACCAGACCCCTAAAAGAAATTCGCCATGGTGACAATTTAGCTGCTAAGATAATTGCCAGTTTTCACCACACTGCACCTTGACTAGTGATGGATGCGCCTCCTGCATGACAGTAGATACGAATAAGTATTCATGCTCACCAATAGTCTACCGCAAATGCTGGATTGGTCTACATGGTTAAATATTTGAAGAGATTGCAGCGTGGACTTATCGATGTACATGAATCCGTCAAGTGCAACTTGCTCCACGGTTGAGAAGTACAGGGATTCGGAGTCGTCCAATTGATTCCCAATCTGGAGATTGCTCGTCACGTATTGAATGAATTTCACCCTCTCAGCAACCCCACGTACTTTTTCGGTGGCCAAATAAAGCAACAAGGCTACAATCACAGAAATGAGGTTCAGCACAGGCAGAATCGGCGTAAGTAAACCAACCTCCGGTAGCGCGAATAAGCTGAGTGCTTTCGAAATTGAAGAAGCTCCCAAGGAACGTATACGCTTCTCGCCTGTAACACCTTCGTTATAAAACTGAAGTGCTTGAAAAATCTCGCCGGTAAAAAAGCAGGCCACCTACCGTGATGGTCTAGCCTGAGGCCCCCTGCACTCGTCAGAAGCTGCACCAAGCTGAACACGCTCAATTGATTGGCAAGCTTTTAAATAGTTGAAATCTGCTTGCCAAAACCAATACACGGTCAAGGCATCAAGTCGGCGACTCTCTTTATTTTCGCGCCGATACCATACCCGAATGCTACAATATTTTGACTTCATTAGTTGAATGAAAATCAACCACGTCAATACAGCACCAGAAGTCAACGATTACCTTGCGGACGCTAATACCTGTTTTCGTCTGGTGCGTATCGTCGAGCTTCTTTATCATTCGAAGCATTCCGTTCGTACTCGCGTTTCGAGAGGAAACAAGCACATGGTTCACTTCGAATTGCGTGTGCAGACGCTCAATAACCTATTTAGAACACAACAAAAGAGTATGAATTAGTTGGTGATGTTCAACCTAACAGCCATCTACCCCACCTCCTCCAGTTCCTGAGCATCAGATGTCTGGAGCTGCAGCGTCTTGAGACTCGTCGTCAACGCGTTATAGATTGCGACACCTAGTTCGCCTCGGTCGAAGAGAATCGACATGAATGTTAACTCCTCCTCCTCCAGTTCAACGTCGCTGGGTTGGAACCCCTCCCCCTGTCGTCGCTGCTCGTATTCAATGTTAGATCAAGATACGTTATATCATCTGTGCCGGCATACATGTGCTCGTGAATTTGACATCGATCGATCTGTTGTGGGCACTTTAATGTGGAATGCAGAATGCGGAATGGAGACCCGATGCCTCTCCCGGAGTGATGGTCAACTGCAACATATGTGCTATGAAAGGTTCAACATTCGATTTGGCAGGGTATTGGAGTGGTGAACACACTCTGATCCGCAATTTCAAACGTACGTCGATCACAACAAGATGGTAAGCAGAGCGCGCGGTGTTGGCATGGCGCTGCGGCACTGAAAATGACCGATATTCTTGCATGGTGATTATGGAATATTGCTGCAGGCGACAGCACAAGTTTCTGAAAACGTAATCACGCTCAAGGGTTCAACTGAGATCGTAACCGAGTTCTTTTCGTACAGCATCAATACGTACTTCCACTTTTCAACGTTTAATACACATTGTTGGCGGTGCAATGGACTAATTGTGTATATGCTGACATCTGCAGCATTTTGTATCAGCGTGGTATCTACCCTGCTGAGAGCTTCAAGCAGGTCCAGAAATATGGCTTGAACATGCTTGTTACGGATGACGACAAGCTCAATGACTTCTTCACCAAGTTCCTCCACCAGTTGTCAAGTTAGTGTGTATTCATATCTCGGGCCGTGATATGCTTGTTTTGCTAACACGGGATGTCACGGATGCGTAGACTGGTTGTTGAAGGGAGAAGTGCAGAAGCTTGTGCTGGTCATCACAGGAATTGAGACCCAGGAAGTGTTGGAACGATGGGCCTTTGAAGTCCATGCAGACAACGGTACAGGAGAAAGGTACATGTGCATCACTGTAATGCAGTTGCTGAATTTTATGCTGATGTACACGTGCCGGGTACTGTTTGTAGTGGTAATGCACCTGCTTCGAAATCAAAGAAGGAGATTATGGCTGAGATCCAGGCCATCATTCGGCAGATCACTGCCAGCGTTTCGTTCTTGCCTATTCTGGAAGAGCAGTGTGCTTTCGACCTGCTCGTATACACGGACAAGAACTCTGAAGTGCCCGCGTTGTGGGAGGAGTCAGACCCTCGCTACATCAAGGACTCAGCGGAAGTTCGCCTGCGTTCGTTCTCGACGAAGGTGCGTGGTTGTGTTTTAATCGTAAGGTTTATTCTCTGCGTTCTTCCAACTAAGCGGTGCGGCTTTTGATGTAGGTCCACAAGGTCGACGCAATGGTAGCCTACAAGAACCCTGAAGCCGACATCTAATCGCCCCACAAAAGCGCAGCTGATCCAACAATGTGCCTACTTACTGCTTCTTGTCCTTGTTTTCAAAACGCGACAGAACGATTTCAATGTCCTTGGTAAATGCCTCTTTGCTGAAGTAGCCGTCCTTGTCAAAGTAACGACCAACGTAGAGCTCTTCCTTTCGGTGCTTTCCCTTTGCGTTGGCATGATGGATGCTGATGGTGTAGTGCGATTCCGTGTAAGGGAACGTCGTCCGCACCAGAATGGTCTTACCGGGATTCGATCCCTACCAATGACATTCAAATACCGTCAGCTAACCCATCCCAGCACTATCCCAAGTGAAGCATTCCTTAGCTGCGTACCGATCGGGTCATCCGTAGGAGGATATCTTTCTCGATGAACGTGGTGTAGCCGAACAACAGCGCATGAATGAAGAAAAACCTGTTCACTCACAATAAAGAGTGCCCCTGTCATTATATTGCACAGCATCACAACAACACTGCATCGCGCTCATCAGCCCGTTCATACTCACCCAGCGACGCAGGAATAGATAAGCACGTCCTCCGGGATTGCGGGGTGCTTGTAGAAGTGGGACACGGCCGCGATGATCGTCGCCACCACCATCAGCAATAGTTTGGCATTATCCCAGCCATAGTGCAGTTTAAATTCTTCCTTTCCCTGGAAGAACTCGACGATGGTGTCGTCCAACAGGTTCTTGACGGCGTTCTGGTCTCCAGTCTCGATGTGCAGGTCTGTTCGCATCAAAGTGTTGGTTGAGATACCCGAAATTCCGACTAGCCACTACCACCAACACAAGCATCTACGCACCGTTTAGCACCATCTCGTCCTCCGAGTCCTTGCGCTCCGGCACGGTCGCGGTGCTGCTCGAGGCGCCCATGCTTCTGCCTGGTGTCTGGGCGATTTTGGTGATGTGGCACTTTTTGCGAAGTAATCCCTTCAAGAAGAATAATACCACTGTAATTCATACTGCATGTTTTGCCGAGATTGTGTAGGTATGCTGTATGCCATCTGATAGGTTAAGCATATGTCTGAATACTGAAACGCAGCCACCGGAAGCTTTGCCAAGAGACAGCAGTCCCGGCGAGGATAAGTAGTAGCAACACCGGATCCTGCGGCAGCTGGATACAATGGCTAAAGCTAAGGTATCAAGTGAGGAGCTCAAGCGCAAGATGAAGCGTCCCAAGGCGCGGCACGAGGCAGCAGCGGCGTCGCCCATCTCAACCACTGGCAACGCTACCCTCGCGTCCGCCGTGGCGCCGCCCAAGTTGCAGTCACCCAGTCCCAGTGCACGGGGTGCGTTCCCTAGCTGTATTTATCGATATCATTGCAGCAACATGGGGTGGCATTTAGTGTTCTTTACATTCTTAACCGATTGATATGCGTAGGGTCTAAACCATCGCCGGCGAGTAGATACGACAGTTCGTTAGGCCTATTGACCAAGCGGTTCGTGGAGTTGATCCAAGCTGCACCATCCAAGGATTTGGACCTGAACACAGCAGCGGAATCGCTTGGCGTTCAGGTAGGGAGATGGAAATGCATCGGTTGTGTATGCAGTTTTAGTGACTTTGGCTCTTGATGCTGCACATTGACAGAAACGGCGTATATACGATATCACGAATGTGTTGGAAGGTATTGGGCTGATAGAGAAGACATCCAAGAACAACATTCACTGGAAGTACGTGTGTCAAGTGAATGCGGTGGCTCGATGTTTTCATTGGGCTGATGGTGATGAAATACTTTGACGTTGTGCAGGGGGGCAAGCGGACCTACTGGTGCCACCGACAGCTACCAAGGCATGGACCACCTTCGACAGAGCATTTCAGACCTTAGGCAAGAGGAGCTCAAGTACGACCAGCAAATCAAGATGGTCAGTCAAAACATTCGACGTCTATACGAAGAAGAAGCGTTCGACAAAGGAAGCTTTGAGAACTTTTGCTATGTCACACACGATGACATGCGACGCCAAGAAAGTTTTGCAGACCAGAGCGTTATGGCAATTAAAGCTCCACCAGGAACAACACTTGAAGTGCCCGATCCAGATGAAGGTATGCCCGCTGGGAAACGCCGATTTCAGATCTTCCTCAAGTCTACAGGTAAAAGACTGCAAGTTTCACTACCACTTCCAGAACAACGGCGTGATTTAAAACCCGTTATTGCTGTCTCGTTAGATGGACCCGTGGATGTGTATTTAGTTCGACGAATGGATGAAAAGGAGGCTGGCGGTGCCAGCGAGGCGACGAAGGATGCTCGAGCAATTGAAACGCCTGATAGCCCAGCACCTCCTTTAGACCAGGTCAGTATATCTGAGTGCTCCGATGTGCTATCTTGCTATATCCTTACGTTTCTGTTTGCCTCTTTCCTGCAGCAGAGATCATACGACTCGGACAGCGGAATATTCAAACTTGCACCGTTAAAGGTATTGAACACTCTTATCCAGCTCATAGCTTTACAGCGCCTGCTCGGTCCGTCCAATTAATCATGTACGCGCTGTGCTTAGACCGATCCAGATTTTTGTTTCAACCTGGACGACAGCGAAGGCATCTCGGACTTTTTTGCAGACATTCCGTAAGGGAGGAATGGTGGCATCAGTAATGGCGCATCGTGTTAGCGAACTCTTCAGCCTGCCGCCAACCTCGCTAGTGACGACGGACTGGTTCCATTCGTATGGACCGACAGCAGGTCTGCTCAACTATTTATCTTGCTGGGAGTCGATCCTTTTGTTTGGTGAAAACCACGACCCCAGAAGCTGTTCTGCAACATTTTGACTCATTCGGTGTGCTGGGTGCGACAACATCAGCACGAGTGCCTGGCCAGCCATCAACGACCAGCTTAGTTGTTAGATATACTCGTTTCTGCTGGCAATCGTGCGTGCCTCTCGATGCGAATCGTGAGTTTTAATAAACATGAACCGAATCGTACCTGGTGCAACCGCTCGAGTGATTGCCCGACTTCTAGGAAGTAAAACTTGGCAAATAGGTTCGTGTTGTCGTAAGCGCAGAACTGGTTGAACACGTTCTGATAAACCAGCAACGCGTGAGAATAAATCAAACTTGGCTTGTGGAATTGAACTGACCTGAGCTGCCTCAACGGGGACGTCTTGATGCCAGTAGATGACGTCCAAATGACAAACAGGGTCTTTGATAAACGCCTGGGCGACTTCACTCTGGCTGGCGTGCAGCGACGGACTCTGTATGATAAACACTGAATTTTTGAGGCTGTAGTTGCAAGGTCATCGCAATCTTCTTGTTGAAGCCGCTTACCTTCTTCACCTGCCTATAGACTAGCAGCAAGCGGAACGACGAAGTGGCCTGGCGCTCCTGCAGGCCATTTTTACAGCAAAAATGATGTCAGCGACGAAGAAGCGGACCGAACAAACAATGCTCTACCATTTCCCTTTGGGCACCGAAGTAGCGTGCAGCTTCGGCCAGTAGTGCATCAAGGTCCACCATGGAATCACATACAGCCGAGGTAAGCAATCCAGGCACTGCTGCGACCAAAGTATCGACATCTTTCGTGAACTATTCCAACAAGCATCAGGCAATATACCTGTTGTCAGCACCATAACCCTTTGCCAGTCATAGCCAGCAAGTATTAACCTCCTGCTCGACAATGAGTCTCGATCCCTGAACTCTTGCGAGGCTGATCTGGTGCTGCAACAGACACTAACAATCATCGATCTATCTCAAACTGATGCTGTCAAGCATCGCCACTCACATTGCCCCCCATCTGCTTCTTGATTCGAACGATCTTCTGCACAGCCTCCTGCAGCGCTCTGGCATCTTCATCGTGCTCCTCGTCCACTCCACACAAACAGATCATCTACCGATATACGATGAGTGTCAATCAATCTCCTTAGCGTAGCTGCTCACGTACAAGATGTTCATCCGCGAGCATTAGTTGCCGAAGAGCTTCAGCATCGTCCAGCGTCGGAGTGACCTCCATGGCTTTGTACTACCGATTGACTGGCTTTTTATATGGCGAGATTGGGCTCAGTTGAGCTGTACTATCGAAGACTTCGCCAAGGCACAGACGAGGCCGCTGCGATGCCAGCGGCCAACGGGTCCAGCAACTTTGTTGTGCGTCAACACAAGTCCAAGCACAGCGCTGACGTGACTGCGCTCAAGCCCACGGCAGTTCGCACCACCAACACTAACAAGGCGCAGTACTATCGGCAACCTCTGGGGCGGACAGCAGTCTCCTTCGCCTCGAGGGCGGTCTCCTGCTGCAAGGACCGGTACAAATACTAATCAGAGATCTGCGAGCGTGCAGAATCAACCGAGACAAGAGCCAAGAAAAAAAAAACAAAGTCGAAGTCCCGCTCGGCACTTGGAGCGCGCTCATTCCATGCCAATTTTTCATTGTGGGGTGCCGAACAAACAGCCTGTTTTGTCCAAATGGCTGTGCGACGCTCAGGTCCTCCACCTCAAGCGAAATCGAGGTCTTTGTCGGCCACGAGGGAAGTTACGGTGGACGTACGAACGGAGCCTGTTGTGGATGATTTGGAGTCTAAAGCGGAGAGCTCGACGAAGACGGACTCGAAGCAGAAGAAACGGAGCCGGTCGACTTCAAAGTCGCGGAACAGATCGACAAGTCGTACGCGTCAGGAACAGGCTGTGGTTGCTGCGGCTATCGACAGCGAGGATGATGACAGTGAAGCAGAAGAAGAAATAGAAGAAGAGGGGGACATTCCTGCGCCAAAGGCCAGTGTTGCAGAGCTTGAAGTCGCATTGAAGAAATACCGACGCATTCGACGTGTACGTCGAAAAGTATTTGAGAAAATTGCGGAACAGTTCGAGCAGTTGGATAACGAGGTTTACGATCTGGACGCGATCTGTGAAATGTTACGGAAGCGCCGCGACAACCTATTGGGTAGGAAGGATACGTCTGATGATGCAGCTGGAGCAAGCCAAGAGCAACCAGAGCATCGGTCATGCTTGAGCAAGCGGGCACGCACCAGTGAGGCGAATGAAAGCAAAGAAGATGTAATTGTATTTCTTGGGCCAGTGGATCCTGAAGTCGTGGCCTCACGCGTAAAGCACAATCGGGTCGTGTTGACAGCGGATTCCACCCCAGCTGAATATTGGAAACGCGCGGATGCGTCACAAACGGTCGTGGACCACAACCGGAAAGCTTAGCCACCACAATATTGGCGTGAAAACACGAAATTAATGTGTATGTGGTGCGGTGCAACTTGCCGAGTGCCCACTACAGACTCGATTTCATCAAATTACCGCAACCGAACTATCCGGCATCGAATCCATGTCTTCTATCGGCAATAGTGGTGCTTGCTCGGTCCTCCGCTTTTAGGTCAAGGCGTTTGAAGCTCCCCAAATTGCCCATTCTCTTTTTTTTTTTCAGTACTTCGCAAGAATGCTCCGTGTTTAATGATTCGATGTTAGCTACTTTCACAAATGCAACAGTTTATTGTTATTCTTTAGTCCTTGCTCGACGGATCGGGCCTGTTTGCCATAGCGAGTGCCGTGTATTTCATGCCGACACCAGCAAACTTTTTCTTACGCTCCTCAGCTTCTTGTTTTCGTTGCTCCAGCTCCTGGGTGCGTTTTGCCCAGTATGCTTGCTTTTTGGCGCGATCCTCTACCATCTTGCGGAACTTCAAACCAGATTGCACCTCTTCTTCGGTCTCGTCGTCCGGATTGCTATCTTCGCATACCATTTGAAGGTGTGTCACCTGTCGATAAACAACTTCATTAGCACTTCAACGAACCAGAATGCTTCGAGCGGTCATTATCGTCGACCAAAGCCTAAACAACGCACCCAGGTATCGCGAATCTCCTCCGAGTCCGCCTCCACGTCCAGTAATGTGTCGCCCTTTTGGGAAGTAATGGTAAATCCAATCTTGCCTACATACCGTTCATAAACCGCATAGTAAGTATGCAAAATATTAAGAAAAATGTAGCCACGAACCTTGTGCCTGGATCAAGTTCACCGTGTGCAGCTCGATTTTGGTCGGGTTCTTAATCGAGTCGTGCAACTTCCACAGCAACCTAATATAAAAATGTCATAACGCCATTCCCAATGATCCTACTGCAAATGTTACGTACGTATGTCCGTCTTCATCAAGTTTCACATGGATTCTTTCTGTCCCCGTATTCATCCCCAGAATCGTCTTTTTCCGCATAAAGTAAGCACCTAACATCCCACAATCAGCATTAAACACATTCCACACCATTGCACTCAACCAGGACATGCACTTCACCTTTTTGCAGCACCAACAGCCTCTGCGCACCTTCTTGTCGTGCCTGACATTGCGCCAAACAGTTGAGCTGGTTGCCCATTATTATTCTTCGAATTGAAAATCTCAAAAAAGTATAAAGGTAACAATTGATTGTTACAATTGTTACAATTGATTTTTGACCAATGGCCAATCACGACCTAATCTGACTTCAAATAGCCAGCTGGAGCTCTAATTGAGACAAGCATTTCGGATGCCAGTCTGCAAGTCTTCGGCATGGGCGTCCAGCAGTCACGCTATAGCTCCGATTGCGCAGACTCGACGCTGAAGTCTCTGGATCTGCATCGTCGAGCTGAGACCGGCGTATTTTCCGACTCGGAGAGCGATGTCAGTGGGAGTGACAGCGATACAGATGAGGAGAATGGAGTGTGGATGGCGCTGCCCAGCGCGTTGAGCTCCACGGGTCACACATTCCGCAAGATTGAGACGAAGGTGGTGAACGAAGAGGAGCAGCTCCAATTGGTTAAGCGAAGAGCGAGGAAATTGGCACGAACAACTGCAGGCTCAGCAGAAGATCGTGCAGACCCCGTATCTCCTCGTGATTTCCACGTGATTAAAGTTATCGGAGTCGGCGGAATGGGAAGAGTATTGCTGGTTCGATATCGAAAAGATGGGAAGCTGTACGCTATGAAAGTCGTGTCTAAAAAGTCAGTAAAGGAGAAGAATATGGCGGCGAGAGTTCTGTCAGAGCGTGACGTTCTGGGTGGAACGTGTCATCACTCATTGGGTATAAGCTTGAATTTTTGTTACATGTACCAGAGTTGATACGTACATGTAGTTGTTATTGACAAACTATTCTGTTGTACACAGTTCAACTGTATTGGGCTTTTCAGACCAAGGATAACTTGTACTTTGTCATGGAGTACTGTCCTGGTGGAGAGCTGTCCACGCACCTGGAGCGAGCGACGAGGTTTACAGAAGAGGTGGGGGCATTTTATGCGGCTGAGTTACTCCTCGCAGTGCAGCAGCTGCATCAACACGGCATTCTACACCGAGATCTGAAACCGGAGAATATTCTGTTAACTGAAGACGGACATCTCAAACTCGTGGATTTCGGCATCAGCAAGTTCGGGATTACCGAAGCCACCCGCGGGGCGAAAACAATATGTGGTAGCTACGAATATCTAGGTGGGTAGTGCGTTGATTGCCGATAAGTCTGAAATGACTAACCGGCTTTGATTTTGCTGTGGTAGCTCCCGAAATACTAAAGGGGAAAGAATACGGCACAGCTGCGGATTGGTGGGCGTTTGGTGCTGTGCTGTATGAACTTCTCACTGGGTTACCGCCATGGTACAGCCAGAACGCGAAGGAAATGTGCAAGCACGTGCTGTATACACCACTTTCAATCCCAGACTTTGTGTCACCAGAAGCCGAGGATTTGATTCGAAAGCTACTCAGCCGGAATCCATATGAGAGGTTGGGCTCGTTGCATGAGGGATTGGAAATCCAGGAGCATGCATTTTTCCGTCATATCGACTGGGAGATGATCACATTCCGAGAGGTTCAACCACTCATCCAGCCGTGTCCGTCTCCTGAAACTATTGTACGTGTGGTTTGCTCTGGTATTTGGGCCCATCTAATCTGCTTGACTTTATATAGATCGATGGGAGTAATTTTCGCGACGAATTCACAAATATATCGCTAGGAAACACCAGTCCTGTGGGCGGAGGTGGATTCAGCGAATCGTTCACAGGGTTCAATTTTAAAGCATCGGTGGACCAGCAGATTGAATACGGGTACTCACGCGACGTTAGTGGTGGCAGTAACAAGGAAGGCGAATGAAAGCTTTGCAGCGGCATGTATGTTATCTTGCGATGAATGTATTGAATTGAATTGCTTATCTTCGCAACGCGTGGCAATTTTTATTTCGCGAATCGAGAACTCCAAGAGTTCTTACCCAAGGGTGGAGTAGATGTGCTGGTCGTACACCGTCTCCCACACGCAGTCACCCTCGTCTTCGACCCAGCACAAATGGGAAGTGTTCGCAATCTCATGAATAAAAAGATCTCCGCGCTTATTCAGCGACTGTAGACCAAATGTGTCAGAGGTATACTCAAGTGTATCCTTCATTTCCAGCACCGTCAAGTTGTTGAACTTCGTCTCGATCTCTTCAATAGTGTCCACGTCCGAGTAGCGACCAAAAATGGAGGTTTGCCATGGTCTAAGAATTGCATCGGCTGGCGAGGCAAAGAAGTGAGCTTGCTCTAGCTTCAGGAAGTTAGCCTTGCGCCGGTGTTGGTCGTTGATGCACTCATCATTACCGGGAAGACAAAGGTTCAGGTTGTTGTACACGGCCAGGAAGAAATTGGCAGTCGAGAAGCTACCCAACTGCGGCCAGCGGTAAGTGTTAAAAAGTGAATGTTGATACTGGACGTCCGGGTTCTCGATCGTGTGTAAAGTGACGGCTTTTTGCATCTTGCCGTAGTAATCCTTGGGCCCGTAGACGCTGAAGTTGAAAACACTCTCGGGTAAATACGCATTTAAGAGCGCACCATTGGCAATAGATTCCTCCACGTCGTCACTTGGTCCGATGAATTGACCGTTCTGAAGACCAGCCAGACTGATAAAGCGGGTGACCTTGTGGTCGTCCATCTCTTCGATCACGGCACGAGCAATAGCCCCACCGAGCGAATGGCCGATGAAGATGTAGCCGTTGTCGAAGACCGAGTTGTTCACTACCACCTCATGCACCGCCTTCAGAGCCTCTGGAACTTGGAGCAGGAGAGATTTAACCGAGCAAGTACCATCGCAGAATGAGAGCGACACCACAGTGCGCCCTCCTGCAGTCAGGTTGGCCACAAAGTTATTCCCAGCCTCGTAGGTCATGGTGGCGCCATGGAAGAAGATCACAGGCAGGCTGGAGGTAGCTGAGGCGACGCTCACAAGCACGCAGACAACAAGTACGAGAAGGATCATCGAGCGACTGGATCAGGAAAGAGTGGTTGTGTTGGGTACAAAATGAAAGGGTATTCGAAAAATCTTTGAAATTATGCGCTCAATTGCCAGTTGCAACTCGCCGTTTAGTAATGGCACGTCGCTAGCGTTTTGATCTATCTGTACGAGTGTTCTTACACAAGCGTCGGGTAAATGTATTGGTCGTACACGGTCGCCCACGAGCAACCGGTTTCTTCGTCGTCAGTCGCCCAGCAACCGTGCGAGACGTTGGCAATCTCGTGAAGGAACAGACCACCACGCTTCTCCAGAGTCTGAAGACCGAAAGTATCGGCCGTGTACTCGAGAGTGTCCTTCATGTCCACAACCGTCAGGTTGTTGTACTGGGTTTCGATCTCTTCGATCGTGTTCACCTCCGAGTAGCGACCGAAGATGCAACTCTGCCACGGCATGATAACATCATCCGCAGGCGAAGTGAAGAAGTGAGCCTCCTCCAACTTCAGGAAGTTGGCTTTGCGGCGGTGCTTGTCGTAGATGCACTGGTCGTTGCCAGGCAGGCAATGATTCACGTTGTTGTAGACCGGAAGGAAGAAGTTAGCAGTCGAAAAACTACCGAACTGAGGCCAACGGTTGACATTGAACTGCGAGTATGTGTACTGGGAGTCAGGGTTCTCAATCGAGTAGAGCACGTAGTCCTTCTGCATCTTGCCATAGTAGTCTTCTGGACCATATGCGCTGTAGTTGAACATGGTTTGAGGCACCAGCATGGTCAGGAACACGGCATTATTGGCAATGGATACCTCGACCTTGTCAGGGCCAATAAACTGACCGTTCTGGAGACCAGCCAGACTGATGAAGCGCTTGACCTTGTGGTCATCCATTTCTTCAATCACGGCACGGGCAATGGGGCCGCCCTGCGAGTGGGCAATGAAGATGTAGCCGTCATCGAAGACGGAGTTGTTGGCCACCACTGCGCGGACAGTCTCGACGGCCTTGGGTACCTGGAGCAGGAGCGACTCCGTCGAACAGGAGCCATCACAGAACGAGAGTGATACCACGGTACGGCCTTCAGCGGTCAGGTTGGCAACGAAATTGTCACCGGCCTCGTAGGTGCTGAAGACACCGTGGAAGAAGATCACAGGCAGGTCGGAAGCGGCCGAGGCGACACTAGCGAACGCACAGGACACGAGCGCGAGAAGGATGCTGCGGCAGATCATAGTGCTGACTGGCGACTGAGGGGATTCTTGGCCAAATCCGTTGTGTAGCGTTCATCAGCGCGGATTGCTGGCTATGGTCTGCGCCGAACGGTACATGAACAGCAGATGGAGAGGTGGATCCCTAGGGCACAAATATCGTCCGTCGATGCGCGAAATGCACAAGATTCGGAGATTGAAGGGGACGCGGGATTTGCAAACAAAAAAACCCGCGCGTTTCAGCGAAGGGATCAAATACGTTACATGGATTTGAAATTATCATACTGCAAAATGCCCGTCCGGCCGGCAATTGAGAGTGTCTACGCTTTCACTTTTCATGTTCACCCGCTTCCCCACCTCTCGTTACGCTACATGTAATGCGATGAACGGGAGCAAGCATTCGCAGCCAAGTTGACCATTCAGCACGTTCCACTTGCACTGCAAGTTGCAGTGCGTGAAGATAACCGCTCCAGTCTGACGTCCAGATGGGAGGTACATCGAGCATAGATGGACAGAAACAGAGCGCTCGGGCACGCGTTGAAGCGAGACTCTCGCTTGAAGCGGGTCGTTGGGAAGATATCGACGGTCAATTCGACCGCCTTTGCAGACCTTCGCGCAATGTGACTGCACGAGCGTGCTTAGCACAATCGAGGTTTGAATACTGTGCATCTGCTGCTAACGCCCTTCATTGCTTCCCCTCGGTTAGCAGTATTCTAATGTCACGCAGCTTGAAAGCATGAATATCGACATGTAGCTAACTCTGTTGAGGAATGAAGAAGCATCACTTCAACTTGGCTATTCAACTAAGTGGATACCACCGGCACCGCCGTATTTAGTGCAGCACGGCATAAAGATGGTCGTTGTATAGGGGCTCCCACTTGCAATCGCCATCGTCTCCGCGCCAGCAACTGTGAGAAACGTTAGCGACCTCGTGGAGGAAGAGGCCGCCACGCTCGTCCAACGTCTTCAGACCAAAGGTATCCGAAGTGTATTCCAAAGTCTCGTTCATGTTGACGATGGTGAGATTCATGAACTTGGTCTCGATCTCTTCGATCGTGTCCACCTCCGAGTA